CAGCAGCAGCAAACGGTCTTTGCCCCCACAAGCAGCAGGGCTCAAAGACACGCTAGCCCGCATCCTCCCCACTACGCCGCCGCTGCCGCCGCGGAGCGCAGCAGCAGCAGCAGCAGCAGCAGCAGCAGCAGCCGCAGCACCTGCGCGCCTGCGCCGGCTCCAGCAGCAGCAGCAGCAGCAGCAGCAGCAAAGGGCACACCGAAGTAGACGTCTTGGTTTCCGTCGGGGAGCCTGTCGAGGCGGAGGCCGTAGGGCTTGTCGAGGCTTTCTCGAAAGCCAACTCCGTGGGCCAAGTGCTGCGGCCATTTGACTGCGCACTGCCGGTCCACAGCCAGCGGGTGCCACGGCAGGCTCGAGCCCTTCCCCCCGTAGTTCTCAGCGCCCCCGTCCAGCACTCCTGCACGCCCAACTAGCAGCAGCCACCCAGCCTCAGCAGCAGCAGCAGCACCAGCAGCTGCTGCTGCTGCTGCTGCACTAGCAGCAGCAGAAGCAGCTGCTGCTGCTGCTGCTAATGCAGCAGCAGCAGCGGGAGAGCGGGCGGCAGAACTGCCGCCCATGAAGAGCTGCAGGGGAGAACACGGAGGAGTTGCTGCTGCAGCTGCGAGGCTTCTGCAGCGCAGCTGCATGCATGCATGCATGCAGCAGCCCGCGTCTACAACGCCTGTGTGGGCAGCACGTTTTGGCCATTTCGAGTCAATGAAATCTTTTTTCCTCTTTCTGGCGATGCATGCGCTAGCTAAAGACTGGAAGCAGCAGCTAGCAGCAAAAGCTGCCTTCGACTCCCCCAAGAAAAAACCCAGAAGTGCAGTTTACAAGACAGGGAACAAATCCAAGATTCACAGAACCCAGACATGTCCACACGCACAGCTGCATATGTGCCCACGTGTGCATGTATGCATGCGTGCATGCATGCGTGCATGCATGCATGCATGCGTGCATGCATGCACGCATGTAGTTTGCGTCGGTGTCAAATTAGCTTAGGAGAAGTGCGAGTTTATGACTCGGTAAAACAAACACAGAAATGGCCAGTATCTTCTCGTGGAAACATGCAAGACAGATATGTGCGCATAAAGCTGTTGATATGCATGCATACATGTGCAACCATATGCCCACAATATGTACAAACGGCCCCTGTAGCTGTAGCTGCCTGCCTGCATGCAGACACGCATGCGTTCATGCATGCATGCATCCAGTCCCCCATGCAGCAGTGCATGCATGCATGCATGCATGCACGCATGCATGCATGCATGCGTCCACGCATGCATGCATGCTTGGAGAAAGGCATATGCCCAACAGACACACCTACGGGCTGTTCTGCAAAGGTCTTGGTGTCGATGAAACTCCAGTTTCCTTTAAGAAAGTGGAGCCAGTTGTTGTCAGTTCCCCTGCCGAATTGCTTGTAGAAAGGCACGTAGACATCCCACTGCAAAAAGAAGACACACAGGCGCGGGGCCCGCGGCTAGAGGCCCGGGGCCACGAGAAAGACAAATGCATGCACTGCACGTGCTGCATGCACTTGGGACACCCAGAAAAACGAGGCAGCAGCACCAGAGAAATAGCACAAAGGCAAAAGCTGCGAAAAGAAGAGAGACACGAAGCGGGGTTCCTGTGGCTGAGGCGGAAATAAAATGAAAAGTGCAGCAAAGGCAAAATGGAACTAAGGCACTGGAAACAGAAAAGACACAAAGGCCTAGCGGCGCGCAGCAGCAGGTCTCAGCAGCAGCAGCAGCAGCAGCAGCAGCAGCAGCAGCAGGCAGCAGAGAGGGCCATGCAGGACACGGGAAAGACCCGAATGAAAGCAAAAGGCCCCAGAGAGAAAAGCCCACAGGCATGTTCTTAATGGGGTCTTCCATAAGCTCTTTCATGTGGGCCTCCAATGCAGAACCTGGCAAAATGGAATTCATTTGAAGACTCTGGAGGCCCCCGCGAGGCCCAAACTCAAACCCGCTGGGGCCTCTCCTTTGGGCCTGCCCTCCTGGAGAAAGCGCCGTCCAAAGGTGACCCTGCTGCTGCTGCTGCTGCTGCTGCTGCTGCTGCTGCTGCTGCTGGGGCCGTTGGGCCCCCGTTAGGGGATGGGGGGCCCCCCGGCGCTGGCGCTGCAGCGGCGCCGCCAGAAAACGGCTCTGGCGGCGCCGCTGGGGGCCCCCAGCAACAAAGGCAGTCAAAGCCAGCGGGGGGGCCCCCAAGTGTGGGGCCCCCTTTGTGCGGGGCCCCAGGTGACCTGCAGCAGCTGGAGCTAGTGCCCCCGCCTTGGCCTCCAGAGCTCTACCCCTTAGGCCGGGCCAGGGGCCCCGGGGGCCCCTCCAGAGGCGGCAGCTGCAGGGGGAGCATGAGAGAAGAAGAGCAGCGAGCAGCAGCAGCAGCAGCAGCAGCAGCAGCCGGGCAAGCCGCAGCTGCTGCAGCCCTCTAGGCCGGGTGTGCACCGCATTCGCAGCGCACAGCCTGGGCATTTGGCCCCTCTTTCCCCAGAGGCCAGGCCAAGGCTGGTTAGGCCATTCCCTCTTAGCCGTAGAGCTGGGGGGTGGCGCTGCAGCCTAAGGCTTGGCAGAGGCGCGGCAACAGAAGCAGAAAAGTCCTAAATAAGACATCTGGAGCCCTTTTGAGAAAGGATCGCCGAAAAGGGTTTTAAGGTGTACTATTTCTTTCCTCCTTCTGCACTCTGCTGAGCCATTCAAAACGCCGAGAGCTGGGACTCACAATGCCGCAGTGTCTTCGACGCCATTCAGAAAGAAATTTAAGAAAAAAAGAATTCCACAGTTAAGAATTGTAGTCAGTGGCTAAGACGAAATACTTTCTAGGCAAGCAAAGGCCGCCTCATAAGGCATCTGCTATGGTCGCTAAGAAGGACCTCAGCGATTCCGCTGAGGCTACTGAAGACCGTTGAGGCAAAAATAGATCACCTTGAGTTTAAAAATGAGAAAGAATATAAATACCGTGGAAAAAAATGAAAAAAAATTGGTTACACTTCTCGATTTGTGCGTGTCATCCTTGCGCAGGGGCCATGCTAATCTTCTCTGTATCGTTCCAATTTTAACAGATGGCACTCCCGAAGGAGGCCAACCAGTATACCCACTCTCATACAGAAGGAACACCCATCACGGGGCGAGGTCACCTGAGACACTATCACCCTCCTTCCGTTCTGTTGTCTTAAATAGCTTTCTTTGAATGTTTAAAGAGCGAAAATAAGAAATATATTTCAATTTTTAGTCCGCTTGTGTCGTACACGAGACGAGCGGGTTACCGCTGCTGGAGTGGACAGACTTTGACAAGACGGGTTGGAGGACCCGATGGGAGAGTTGGTTTTGTGCTTCATGTTTTTCGAACAAATGAACAAATGACGCTTCAAGTTGTAATCAAATGTGAAGCGCTCATTCCTTTGCCTCCCTGCCTAGAATATGGTTTCCTACTGGACCGTGAAGCCACACCAGAGGGAGCCGAACGTGTGAACAACCAGTTAAGGTCGGGAAAAGGATTTCAAGCGAAGGTAAACACGAAATTAATGTTTTCAAGTTCAAAACATACATATCTAGGAGTGGATGGGGCAGGACAGTACAGTTCTCTACGGGAAGGCTTGCGGCAAGGCAACAACCCCGGAGTGAAGAATCCAGTATTTGGCGAATGCAAGTTCTGCATTTCTCGCAACTCCCTGCAGCAAAGACGTTTTTATTTCATTCGAGTTTTCCATCCACCCTCAGAACGCTGAGTTCAGCGCTGTAGTGACAAAGACATGAGAAATTGGTCAAAAAGGCTTAAAAGTGGACGGAAATGAAAAAAAAATGCAAAAAAATTGGTTACACTTCTCGATTTGTGCGTGTCATCCTTGCGCAGGGGCCATGCTAATCTTCTCTGTATCGTTCCAATTTTAACAGATGGCACTCCCGAAGGAGGCCAACCCATACTGCCGTCTTTCTATTAAAGGAACACCCATCGCTGGCAGGGTCACCTCGCTGCGGCATCGATTCCCGGTAGCTCTTGCACATTTTTTATCAATATTCTCCAATTTGTTTCATTTATATACATATATTGCGTACTTATGTGCAGCATTTTCCTGCTAATTTGCAATAACAGTGAGTAGGGATGGTTCAATGGGTCTACTCTGTGCAACAGCTTGAGGGGAGAGGTGGAGAGAAGCCATGACTTACAGGAGGCAGTACTTGACTCGGATATAAACATTGTCTTGACGGTAATGAGATTTAAAAGGTTAAGGGCAATGTGAGGTGTACGAGAGAAGGGAGGTCTGCCGAGCTGGGTGGTACGAAAGTAGTGGCCTTTTCTTGGAGGAATGAACCATAGGATCATCTTTGTGCATTGTACACGTAACATTCATATTAAAAACATCAAAAAGAGGCTCCGCCGTGAAACGACGCATGACTCGGATGGACTCAGCGCGTGTGCACGCGAACTGAACCTCCCTGAGATCCTCAAGCTCTGAGGCGCTAACGGTGACACAGTGTCACAAAGTAGCAGCTACCAACTAAATGACTCTATAACAGTGATGAAGCGTCACTAAGTAGCAGCCATCAGCTTGATTATCACCGCTACGATCTGCAGAAGGGAGCCCATGCTTCTGTCCGCTTTGAGAACGGAAGCGCCAGTTCAAAGGGTGACCAAAGGTCATATTTCTCAAGAGAAATGTGAGTGGGGCTCAACTGGGTGGCAGTTGAGGCCGCCTCTCCCTGCCAAGAGCATTATCAAGACTGTGTGTGGAACATAACTTCGCGCATCAGAACAGTGTTACGTACACATGACGAGCTGAAGCAGCAGGTTGCAGGTTGCTGCTGAAGTGGAAAGAACTGCCCCCAACGCCCGTGCCTGCGCGCGTCGGCGAAGACACAGTAGGACTCAGGCTGGGGGACTCAATCCCCAACTGCCACAACAAAGTAAAGGCAGACGCTGTGTGCAGTGGCCGCGCTGGCTCTAATCTTTGAGACTTGACAAGTCCATCAGCCCCGTGTGAAAGCAGTGGCTCCCCACTGTCCCAGTAGCTGGGCCTGGGCCGGCTACTCGCCATCTGGCGCTGTGGAAGTGTCTGCTGCTCTTGTGGCTGCTGCTGTTGGCCCTGTTGCTGCAGCGTCGCCCCCGCTAAGCAGAGATAAGGGGACTGAAACTCTAACTTCCACATCTCTGTGGTGCAGATGCCTCCTCCGCTCTACCTGCACAGAGGCAGCAGCAGCTTGGTGTTTGTCTGGAGGCTGCACAGGTTGTTGGGGGCCCCTGCTGCTGCTGCCCACACTGGGGGCCCCTGGCCCTACGGGTTCTCCGTAGTCTGCGTCCAAGTGCTCGAGCATAGACTGTTGGTCATTAAGAAGCTGCCTCAGAGGCACCCGCAGCAAAGAGAGTTGCTGCAGGTCAACAGATGAAACTGATAAGCTGGAGCTCTGCCCGAGCTGCTGCGCAGTGCTGCTGTTGTCTTGATGCTGCGCTGCTGCCGTTGCGGCTGTTGCTGCTCCCGCTGCTGCTCCTTCCTCCCTCGCAACTCCAGATCCACTCAGATGTGCATCACTTAAGCAGCTTTTCGTTGTCTCCCTCAAATTTGGCATTTCTCTCCGAGAAGAGGCTCCCCTTGTGCTGTCGGGGACGCCCAGGACGTCCCGTCCGTCCTGGGCCAGCAGCTGCTGCTGCTGCGCGTGCTGCTGCTGCTGCCGCTGCTGCTGGTGCTGGCACCGCTGCACTCCGTCGGCCGCCGTCTTCGCTCCCTGCAGACTCAGCTGCTGGCTCAAACCGCAGAGGCCCCTCGGGCACGTCACGGGAGACACAGCTGCATCCCTGGTTTGCTGCCTGACAGTGGGAAAGACATGGGGGCATGCGGGAGGCGTGGGCTGGGTTGAGGAGGTTGCTGCTGCTGCTGCTGCTGCTTCTGCCGCTGCGTCCCGAGTGGCTGCGCTGAGCCGCTGCTGTGGATCCGCAGCAAAAAGCCTCTTCTCCAAACCCCAGAGCTGCTGCGTCGGACCCCCCTGGCCTCGCGGCTCCTGAAGCGTCCTGGGGGCCCCAGTCACTGTTAGCGGTCCAGCTTCTGCAGCTCCGCCCGTTGCTGCAGGCGGCGTCAGCAACATTCCCCAATTTGCTGCAGCAGCAGCAGCACTTGCTCCCGCTACCCCCGTGGGAAGCCCTTCAGCAGCACTGACTGCCAGTCTGGGCAGCGCTGCTGCGGCCAACTGGGGGGGCGCAGAGAGGCGGCCCGAAGCCCTCGGCTGCTGGCTCTGCAGGGGCGGCAGCGTGACGGGCGGAGAGAGCAGCGAGCTCGGTGCAGCAGCAGCAGCAGCAGCAGCAGCAGTCACGCGCACTGGGCCTGGGACTGCAGCGAGCGGCCCGTGAGGCCCCTGCGGGTCGCGACCTACACTAGCATTTGACAGCAAAGAGTTCCGCCGCCCGCTCCCGCTCTGCATTGGGGGAAGCACCACTTCGGGCAGTTTGTTGCTGCAGCAGCAGCCGCAGCAGCGGCGCATGTCTGCGGGAGCTCCCGTGTCGAGCAGCCCCTCTGCTGCTGCTGCAGCACGAGCAAACGCCGTTGCGGGGGTCAGAATTGCACTGCTGCAGCAAGGGCTGGCAGCTGAGACAGGAAGAGGAGCAGCAGGAACATTCAATACAGTGTCGGACCTTGACGGCAGCGGCAGCAGCCCAAGAGGCACCGGAGGCGACAACGCTGGCTGCTGCTGCAGCTTCTGGTGCTGCTGCTTGTGCTGTTGCTGTTGCTGCTGCTGCTGATGCAGCTGTTGCTGCAGTTGCTGCTGCAGTTGCTGCTGCTGTGGACCACTCGAAATCATGGTCCTCAACGCCCCCTCCACAGGCCCCTCCGTTGCTCGCAGCCCATCTGCACTGCTGCTTTCACTATCAATTCCCCGCGGCAGAAGTTGCTGCTGCCACTGCTGCTGCTGTTGTAGCTGCTGCATCGACTGCAGCTGCTGCTGCTGCTGCCGCTGCAGGTCCTGGCCCCCGGGGGACAGAGGCGCCAGCTGCAGCGGCTTCATCTGCAGCGACTGCAGCTGCCGCTGGCACTGCAGCAGCTGGTGCCGTTGTTTCTGCCGTTGTTGTCGCTGCTGCAGCTGCTGCAGCTGCAATCCTAAACGCTCTACTCGCAGCAGTGCCAGCTGCAGCAACGGGTCTGTCTGCCCCATCAGCTGTTCTATCAATGATGCAGCATGCTGATGCAGCATAAGCAGCAACAGCGGAGGGGCACATCATTCTGGCTTCGGTCCTGAGCCAAAGAGCATGTGAACATGCAAAAGCAAATAAGCAGCACAAAAACACTTACAGATGCCTGCACAACTTCCTGCCGCTGCAGCAGCTCCTGCTGCAGTCTGTCAACTTCGGTCTGCAGCGCCTGCATCTGGTCCTGTAGGGCTGCGGAGCGGCGCCTTTCCTCCAGCAGCAGCTGCTGCTGCTTCTGCAGCTGCTGCTGCTGCTTGTTGTAGGAGGCAGTGGCTGCTGCAGCTGCAGCAGCTGCTGCTGCTTCCCGCGCCTCTCCGCTGCAGCAGTCCGCACAAGCAGCAAACGGGCGCACCCACAGTGGAAGCCGCAGTCCACAGGCAGCAGCAAAGAGCAGCAAAGTAGGTCGACAAGCAGCAGCAGCAAGGAAAGACGAATCAAATAGGCAGCAGCAAATAAAAGCAGAATGAATCCCAAAGAAATATGCACCTGAGGCCAACTACTTGAGAAGCCACGCGGGCAATTAGCTGCTTCGCTTCGCTATCTCCCGCGCGTCTTTTCAGCTTCTCCACTCTGAGGCGCTGCTGCAGTCTTCTGCAGCTGCTGCACTGCACTTTCTCCTCCCGTTCGCTGCTGCTGCTGCTCCGGCTGCTGCTAGTCCTGCTGCTGCTGCTCCTGCTGCTGCTGCTGTGGGGGGGCCTGCGGGCCCGCTCCGCCCGCGCCGAAATGCTGCGCCGCTCTTTCCTTGCGTGGCCTCGGTCATGTGTTTTCCGCTGCAGCGGCTTCTCGAAAGTTTGCTGCTGCTGCAGTGGCAGCTGCTGCAGCGGCAGCTGCTGCTGCTGCGGCTGCGGGTCCTCCTTCAGCAGCAGCAGCATCTGCATCACCCGCTCCTTCACGTGATTCTCGAAAAGTCTGCCCGCAGCAGCAGCAGCGTCTGCTGCAACAACAGCCACATCCCCTGGCCGCTGCTGCTGCGCACTCTCCTCAGTCGACTCTCGCTGGGGTGCTGCTGCCTCGGCTGCTGCAGCGGCGGCATCGGCGGCTGCTGCTGCTGCTGCAGGGGAAACGGTCATGTTGCCTTTTGACCACCAGACGATAAGTGCCTGTCAAAGAGCTGAACCTGCCTGCTGCTGCAGCGGTGCTGCTGCAGTATCCTTCGCCGCTGCTCTTTTGTCGCCGCTGCTGCCGTACCTATGTCGCATTTGCTGCTATTTGTAAGCAGCCACTATTGTGTCAGTGTTCTTCTGGTGCTAAGCTCCTGCTGCGTCCGTCATTTTCGACCTTGTTTTGCTGCTTTTGCTACTTCATGGTGCCGCCGCGGAGGCTGCTGCTGCTGCTGCTGTTGTTGCTGCAGTCTAACTATGCTTTGCTGCTCTCCATTTCAAAATTGTCTAGTTGTGCGGGTGTGCCTGTCGGCTTGCCCCGTGCTGCTGCTGCTGCCCCCAGCCTCGCAGGTTCCACAGCCTGTCGCCCACCCATCGACCACGTCTCCTATCGTGTGCTGCTGCTGCTGCAATTATTGTTGTTGCTGCTACTTCTGCTGCTGCTGCTGCTGGCGTTTCCCTCGCCTTTGCCCTCCAGCAACGGCGTCGGGGTCCCCCCTCCTGCAGGGCCGAAGCTCGAAGACCTCCACTGTCTCTGGGCACTATGACCGGCGCTAAATCAAGTAATGCTGCAGCAGAGCGACTCTAAACGCCTCAGAACGCGACTGTCTTCACTTCAGTTGTTCTTGCGGGCCCGTGTTGCTCGCAGTGGTGGCCTTGGCAGTCCCCCGTATCCGCACACGCCGGCAGTGTGTCTGCGGGGGGTTAAACGTGCAAAAGAGCGAAATAAGGAAGAAGCTTTAACGGGAAAAGTCAGAAGAGGCGAAACGGGAGAGATATGCACGGGTGTCACTCAATGGTAGCGCTGCAGCAGCACAGCCACAAAGGGCCCCCAAGCTCGATCAGAGACGGGGTGGGAGCTGTTCCGTTAAACCGCTCGGGATTGCCAAATAAAAGTTCCTTCTCTCGATTCAGATGACTCGCGCTGTTTTGATTCGGCTGTATATACACCGTCTCCCCAGTTTTTCACCTCCTTTCGCTGCTCCCCGGCCTCACCCGGTGAACACGCTGCCGGTCAACAACAAGGCGCCTTCGCCATTTTTGCTCTTCAAGTCATACAAACACTGTGTTAATCTCTATATATCTACTTAATTGCATAAAGGGTTGTAGAAGGCTGTAGAAGCAGCGCAAGAATCTGCGGGAACAGCGGGAACCAGGCGATACAGCCGCAATAACCACAGCAGCGGCAGCAAAGGCAACTGTCGCATGCACATTCACGGGTCATGCAATTTAATTGGTCCACCTCGCACATCATTCTGTTTTATTCCCCAGGCTGGATCCTCTTCCCCGGAGCAGCAGCCGCTGCAGCTCAATGCGCAACAGCAACAGCAACGGAGGCAGCAGCAGCAACGACAGGAGCGGCAACAGCAGCAGCAGGAAGCAAGTAGCAGGGACTCCAGCTGAAGCAAGAGCAGCACCAGTAACTGCACCAGCAGCACTAGCGAAGACAGCAGCAGCAGCAGCGGGAGAATCAAAAGCCGGAACGGCGCAATGACGAGTCGCTGCTTTCCCCCCTTCCTCAGTGATGACGCGGCGGAGCTTCGGCGCGCTGCATCTGCTGCTGCGGGCTCTTTGGGCTGCTCCGGCTGGTGGAGCCCAGAGAGAGTAGCTGCAGCAATGGCAGCAGTGGAGGAAATAGGCCGCAGCAGCAGCAGCAGCAGCTTGTTGTCTCTCGCGGACCTTCTTGACTCAGCAGCAGACTACATGGACCGCCTAGTGGCAAACAACAACTCAGGTCCCGGTTCGATCTACTCAGGCGACGCCGGGGTAGCTTACGCCCTTATCAGGCAAGGGTCATTTCAGTTTGCTGCTGCAGCAGCTGCTGGTGGCGTTGCTGCTCGTGTTTGTGCTGCTGCTGCTGTGTTCTTACTGTTTCTGCATCCGCTGCTCCTGCTGCGGCTGCCAGTCATCTTCTGAAGCCGCTGCTCTGCGCGCCGGCCTTTTCTGCGGCTGCCTTGCTGCTGCTGCCTGTGCCTCTTGAACGCTGCTGCTGCTGCTGCTGCTGTTTTGTGCCTGTGTGGAGCGCAGGAAGGCGGAGAGGATCTTGGCAGCAGCTGAGTCGGAGCGGCGGCGGTCCGGCATTTCCTATGAAGACGAAGGCGAGAGGGGCGAAAGCACAGCAGCAGCAGCAGCAGCAGCAGCAGCAGTGTGGCCGTCGCAAGAAGCCTCGCGGGAGGATGCTGCAGTGCCGCCTCTCGCAGAGCAAGCCTTGAATGAAGCCCTTGCCATTTTGTCTGCAGGATATGGGGTGGAGGCTGCTGGCTCTTCAGCAGCAGAAGCAGCGGAAGCAGCAGAAAAATCCCTGCGCCGCCGCTTCACCTTTCTGCAGGGGCAAGTTGGCCGTTTGGCGCTGACTGCGGTGGCCCTTCATCTTCTGAAGAGAGAGGCAAGCAGCAGTTTTCACATTCTCACTTAGTGCTGCTGCTTCCCGCAGCTTTGCTGCTGTTGTTTCTGCTGCATGTGCAGCAGTGCCCGCGGATAGTTTTCCACCGCCCACATCCCAGTGCAGTTTCTGTGCATGCAAGAAGTGTTTTTTTCTGCTTTTTCGATGAAGCAGAGACTTACAGGCGGCGCTGCTGAGCAGCTTGTTGTGCTGTTTCCTGCTGCAGCAGGAAGCGTTCCTGGTGCTGCGTCGCCTGGCAGCAGCTGCTGCTGCTGCTATCTCACGCATGCAGCCAGAGGAGTGCGAGCTGCTGTATGGACGGGCGGGGCTGCTGTACGCGCTGCTGTTTACTCGATCTTTGTGGCTGCCGCCTCCCCCTCCCCAATATCGTTCTTTCTTTTCCGATTTGGTGAGAAGGCAGTCGCAAGAAGACGGGAAACAAGACGCAGCAGAAAGCACGCAGGATTGCTCAGCCGGGCTCTTCAGAGACTGTGATGAAGGTATTCAAACCACCACAGCCAGCAGCAGCAGGAAAAGCAGCAGCAGCCAGAGTAGTCTGCAGGAGGTTTACCTGCGAGCTGCTTCCACAGTGTCTGTCGGTGTGGGCAGCGGCCGCATCCCGTGGCCTCTTTCGCTGAACTACGGTGGCTCTCTCCGACTTGGCAGCAGCGGCAGCAGCAGCTATAAGGGCAGCGGCAGCAGCAGGAGCCACAAGAGTGGCGGCAGCAGCAGCAGCATTGACGGCGGCCTCCAAGAGTCCGCATCGGGCTGGCCGGAGGAACTCCCTGAGGAGCAGCAGGCAACGCGCGTGTTGGTTCTGTCTTTGATAGCGCAGCTAGTGGGGCAGCTGGTGGCTCATGGTCGGGTGGAAGCTGTAGTGGCAGAGAAGGGGAGCATCAGATCTTTAGAGCCGCGTGAGCAGCAGCGCCTGCACTCTTCTGCTGCTTCTGCTTTCACCAAGGCTTCCCCCTTGCCGCTGCTGTATGAGTGGCACGGCAAGCAGTACTTGGGCGCAGCCCACGGCATCTGTGGAATCCTCTTGCAGCTGCAGCAGGCTGTAGACACTCTGTACCACGCGGCTGCGGCGGGCTGCTTCCCTGGTCCGGCGGCGAGGGCCGGCGGGTCTGCTGCGGCAGCAGTTGTTGCAGCTGCAAGGGAGGCAGAGCTGAGCAAGGAAGCAATCCGGGAGGAAGCAGAGTCAGCTGCTGCGCGGCTGCTTGCCTGCTCTGCTACCGTGTGCAGCGCAATGCAGCACAGGGAAAGAGAAGATATGCCTATCTTCTGTCCTGCAGCCAGTGCTTTCCTGTGCTGCCATGACGGGTTGGCTGCTGCTGCTTCACTGCGAGACACGGTGCGCCGTTTGTGTCTTTCTTCTCTGATGGCGCTGCTGCGCTTCCATCTCACAGACACAGCAAATCTCAAGAGCAGCATCGGCAGCGACCGAGACCTGCTTGTCCAGTGGTGTCACGGAGCCCCTGGACTTGTGCCTCTGATTTGCTGGGCAGTGGACTTGCACAGAGAAAAGGCGCTGGCGTATGCCCAGTATCAGCGGCACCAGCAGGGCTCTCTTAGCAGCGAAAACGGCCTGCTTCCAGAAGATCGGCCAACGCAGGAGGAGCAGCACCGACAGAAGCAGCGGCAGCAGCAGGAGCAACACATGCCGAATTTGTACCGCCGTCGCTCATCTACCAGCGCAGACGCGGAGCTGAAATCGAGAGAGAATTTGGGCTTCTTCATGGTGTGGCTGGACACAATGGGAAACATAACGTGGCAGCGAGGCCTGTTGTGTAAGGGTTTGGGTGTGTGCCACGGCATAGGGGGCAATGGCATGGCTCTTCTATGCGCCTACAACAGCTCTGGCAACCCTCGGTGGCTGCGTCGCGCGTTGCTGTTTGCCCTGGAAGGCATTATTCGGCATATGCAGCTGCTGCATCTGCCTGATCGGCCTTGGAGTCTTTTTGAGGGAGCCTCGGGCTTTTCGGTCTTTCTCAGGGATTGCGCGGAGACGCTTTTTGCTGCATGCACAGGCAGCACTAGGCCCATCACCGCTTATTACATTGGTTACCAGCTTCCACCTTTGCCGTGGGAGCAGTCTGTGCGCGGTGGGTGAGCCTCCTGCTGTAGCTGCCTGTGCTGGAGCAGCGCATTGGTTATGGCTTTTCAGTGCAGTGTGCTCTCAGAAGGCGGCTGGTGGGCGCAGTGGAGCCTTCACTGTTCTTCGCCTGTGCGCGTTTCTACTGCAACTGCTGGTTAGGCAGCTTGCTTGTTTTATGTTCTGTAGTTAGGGGGGAGTTTCGTTGTCTCGACTGTCTCCTGGCTCAAAGTGCAGGCTGACCGCAGAACCGGGAAGCCGCAGCAGGCCAATGCCTCATCAGCGTTTAGTGTTCAGTTTCCATGGCTGTATGGTTTCAGTGCTTCTTAAAGGTTTTCTAAGCACGTGCTATGAGGACCTTTGTCGCTGATGTTCAAAGTCCTGTCTGCTGTTTGTCTGTTAACTGTATTTACACTTGTACGGTGAAGAACAGTATGCAGGCAGAAGGACAGCCTTCGTCGCAGTGGTTGCATGTTTCATTTCCGATTTAATTCCGTATCTGCCGAGAGGCGTCCGGGCCTCGGGTCTTGCGAGTGCTCGGGAAGCACTGCGGCCCCACAAATATTGGAGAGTAGTAGTTCCTCGGCTTCATTCCCCCCTCTCCTCGGCACATGGACAATTAATTGAGACAAAGACAGAAAGTGGTGAAGACAGAAAAGGCAGCGAGGACAGACGAAGAGGCAGCTCGGCCCAGCATGATGGTTGGAGACTTCTTCATGGCGGAGACAAAAGTGTCAGAAGAGTTGAACTGTGTAGCAGTCTCTACTGGCACCTTTTAGAAGTGTAAGGGATGTTCCTCTACAATCGAAAGGAGTAAAAGCGTGACTTTTTGTCGTTTCGTGTTCGCTGTACTCAGCGCTTCATTGCCTCCTGAGTTGCTTTGACCAAGCAATCAATTGACGCGTTGATTAGATGGTTTATCAATTGACGGGCTAAATTAGTGATTAATTGAAATTCTTGCGGGGGGACTGTAGAAATTACGCTGTGCCCACCGTCTTTATCCAAGCCCATCTCTCCGGGGCGAGCTGAACTGTGCACAGTTTCAATTGAGCTTTTAATTGGGAAGTCTCTGTACTACGTTGCCTGAATGTTTGTCGCCTGTAGCTGGCCATTTGCATTCGCCAGTGACAGTATATACACGCATCGGGCAGTTGCAATTGTCGTACATAGGGCAGCCGCAAAAGATGATCGCCACGCTAGACAGGAAAGGGAGCGCAAAGCCCGAAAAGATAGCTCACTGTAGGGTCGCCGCGACTTAAGCAGTAAAGGCGCACGCGCAGAGTTCACCATGCAGGAAGCGAGGAGCTGAAAATATGGCTAAGGGGCTACGCACTTGACGCTACGAAGACGGGACGGAGCTCCCAGCAAAAAAAAAAGAGCCACGCGCTTCCCCGGTGATGCAGCTTAAAAGCCATTATATTCAAAACACATCGCATTCAAAACTGTTCTTTCTTGCTTATCTCTGTCCTTACACAGAGGCTTCTACATGGCATGTCGGCGGAACTCTCATAGTAAGAATTTCGGAGTCCTCTCTCCACCACTGTGAACCTCCCGCCTGTCATGACGGTTGCCGAACGCGGTAATCTTGCATGTGCTGCTACCACTAGCCGATGTGCCTTCACTGCCACTGAAGAATGGAATTCTGCTGGGAGCATCAAGCCACCTTCAAGGTCACGCCGTCGCTTGCCACTGTCACTTTTCCTAAAACAGAATGTATCTTTTGTTCTTTGCATATTTCTCCTTGTGTCTAGGCGATCTCCCTTCTTTCCACTGCGCGGTGGCTCTGGCCGTTGCCGTTCGTGAGCTCCGTGCACCGAGGAATCAGGGAAGAAGAAGTGAAAGGGAGCCCCAAAATATACAAATCATCCACATAATGATATGCTTACAGCAGGCTTAAGTATGTATATGCATACTGCAAGCATGTTTATGTACACCTACACGTCTGGTGCCTGTCATATCTTTGCATGCGCCAAAGCCTCTTATGCCTGTTTACTGTAGTAACTTCTGTACAAGTATTTGATAATCAATATCTTCCTGATTCGGAAATATATCGTCTAAGACGGCGTCAGCCTCTTGAACCGACAGGGCCTCGCCGAAGTTCATGAGACATTTCTTGACATCAGTTTTCCTTACTTTTCCTGTACCCATTAGATCCATCGACTGAAATAAACTCAACAGATCATCCGCTGAGTCCACATGCGAAGTCTTGCGACAGAAGTCTGCGAACATCCCCGAGTTCACCTCAGCCCCGCATTTACTCGCAAATGCCTTCAACTCAGCCAGGGAAGGAGATGCTCCTGCTGCTCGAGCCGCTGTGGCCAGCTGATCTGCAGGGAATGAGGGCTTTCCCTTAGCAGCGGCGTTGAACGCCGATGTGATGCTGCTGTCGGTAGCCATGTTCAGCGCCTGGTGGTGTATTGCTCAGACTCAGCGTGGACGCGCCCGCGGGAAACGAATGGGATCGGACGGTCTTAAGCAGGCCTTAAAGAGATACCTTATCAGGGAATTCCTTATTGTTTCCAGCGCTTACTGCTGTGGAAGCGCGAGCCCCTGAGACGGCCCAAAGCTCTCTCCCGCCTCGCTTCTTCCTCAACGGCTGTACAGCGGAAAACCGAATAAACGACAGCCACCAACAGCGCCAGACCTATGACGCATGAAAGGGGAAAGAATACAGGGTGCAGAGAGAGCGTCCGGAAATGGATGAGATACGGCGCGAAGGGAAGCAAGCACGCCACGATCAGAGTAAGTATGAGTATCAGCTTTGGCCCAGAGCCCCCTGAGTCCATCTCCGCTATGTCTGACTCTTTTGCTGCACTGTTGCCCCTAGAAAACAGAACTCTATTTGATATAAGTACTTTGGAATTAGGTTGGGGCCCAGATGAGAAGGCACGGCAACAACGAAACGACGGACCGGCAAGTTGCTGGCTCGGTCCCGCAGGAAGACGGTTTAGAATTTTTACATGCACAAATGTTTCAGGTTCTCTTGACTAACGCAAAAAATGCAAACTGGGCAACAGTAATCGCAGTACGACGGGACTGGCCTGCGAGGCGCAGATAAAGCTATCGAGCCCAGCGCCTGTTGCTGTCGTTGCTGCTGCGGAGAGCAGTTGCTGTTCGCTAGTCTTCGGCTTTGTAGCATGGCATGTTTGTTAGTTTCGTTAACTTCCCTTTTTCCTATCAGTTCTTATTCATCAGTAAGATTTTCCTTTGCGGTCGTTCCTTTCTGAAGCTTAATTACTTACAGTTCAGGTCGAGCCTCGTCACCCTTGTCGGCACAGAGCCGAAGGACTGGACTCCTACACAGAACCTCCTCATCAGCTCTACATTCCTCGCGCGTTTCCTAGTAAGTCAAGTAATGGTTTTTGCTCTGATCATAATTTATTTGTGGCATTGTAAGGCCCAGCGGCACCTCAGTACCCCTCAAGCACGCAACAACTCACCGCTGAGCCGCGCCACCCATTCGCATGGCCATAGTAAAGAACTAAGCTTAATCTAGCCTTTGCAACAACAACGCCAGAGAAATGCTAGAGCTTAAGGATGTGGGTGGATCACAAAAAACCCAACGAGTGCTCTCTCCCTCCGCCACTTGTGCGATTCAGTCGAGTGCAACAAAGCGAGCATCGTCTATTCCAACCGGTTTGCTCATATATGCGACTTTAAATTGCAGATCTCAACAGTTTGACGCAGCAGGATGGAGAGCAGCAGGGGCAGCAGCTCGCTGTACGTGACCCCCAGAGGGGTTTCGACGGACGATATGGAGGCAACCAATATCAGTTTGCGGCACTTTTACAGCGGCCAGAACGTTCAAAAGGAGGCTCCAGAGCAGAAGCAGCAAGGTCCTTCACAGGAGCAGCACTGGGTAGACCAACAGCAGTGGGAGCTAGAGCAGCAGCAGCAGTACCAACAATACCAGCAACAGCAGCAGCAGTACGGTTATCCACAGTGGCAGCAAGGCGAGGGCGATTCAGCCTTGATGAATGCGGACGCGCTAAACCAGGCTGCAATGCAGCAACTGCAGCAGAACACGGTAGAAACAGAAGACCTGAGTAAGATGGTGGGTGAGGGCGAGTGGCAGCGTCCCCCGGCAACTTCACCTTCGTGGGACTACACAAGAGCTCTCTCCTCGTACACTGGATTCACTTCGAAGAGATTTGACAAGGAGTGCTCAAAGCTTGGAATGGAAACCCAGACATCAGGCATACAAATGCGCAACTCAGGCATTTACGTGCCAGGAGTCACTCAGTGGAACGCAGTCACAAATACTCCTGTGGAACCTTTGGGAGGAGAAGGTAAAAAGAAATCACTACGGCGATTTTGTGTATTAAAAATGTATACGTTTGGGTACACCCATGCGTAACCAGGGCTTGGCTGTATGCTGAGAGGTTTTTGTTTGAACGAGGCTGCCGAATTTGTGTCATTTTGTTTCTCATCTACTACTTTTCTGTTGGATTCTATTTGCATTTTATCTGCATTTAATTTCTTGCATTTATTGTACCTTGTTATATTTGTCTCTTTTCTGTTTAGCGCGGGCCCTCGAGAGTCGAAAGTTTACCTTTGATGCGACTTCTGGCAACTATGTGAATGCTCACGACCCATCTGAACGTATATCTGCTGACCGCATGCACGAGCTGCAAAAAGCTCTATCGAACGCAGCAGTGGAGGAGACAGTGGTGGATATAATGCGTAGAAGGTCCACTCTGCGCAAGATGTCGATGGCATCGCGGCTGTTCCTAGAGCTCGAGAAAAAGAAGCTGTCTGCTATTACTGTCAGTCTTTTCGTTTCTCCTCTCACAGGCAGAGACAAAATCTTTCTGCCTGCTCTCGTTTGCTGTTTCATTGGCAGAAGCCTCTTAGCAAGCAGTCTCAGATGAGCCCATCTACCTGGCTGTGTGTGTGGCAGTGAAACTGACTGTGTAGTTCAGTGATGTTCCACGTCTTGTTCTCGCTACATGTGTTCTGCGTTCTGTATTTTAACAGGGTACTCAAGGTCTTCTTCCTCCGGTGGTTATGGCTTATTTGCCAGACAGATATATCAAAACGTATGACAGGACGAATTGTATGGGTCAGCGAATCTCTACGAGGCAGCACAAGAGCTGCTGAATGTGAATGCAGGTACTTTATCAAGGACTTCCGCTTTTCACCAGTTTACAATGCCCTGCATTGATGGTGCCGGGGATCCTATGGGTGCTGATGTCAGACCGACACGCACAAGCACCTCCATGCTGGCTCTTCGCGGCTAGTGGATGTAGCCTTCCCGCTGCCCGAGCGTCAAAATTTCAATATGCATACAGTGAGACTTTTTTTTGTTCACGCAGCGTGGAAAAGTTGTTAGACAGACCTTCCGTGAAATATCCCTGCCTTGTTCCCTCTTCCGCTGGTAAATAGCACGAATCAGTACGCGCTAAACTCACCTTTCCGTAAACTCAAACTACACTTACCAGCACGACCAAACGACTTCAAAAGATGCCTAGGTCCCTGAGGTTTCTCTTTCCAAAAGCTAGCTGAAAGTTAGCCAAAACTGTATAACACGAAAGCGGAAGCTGGAAGCCGCAATGAAACTATGACGTCCTTAGCCTAGCTAGCTACACCTATCAGACAATAAGGCGGTCCAATTACAGCGAAATGCAGAAGATTAAGAGGAAAGGGTGTCGTGGGTAAGATGAAACGAGTAGGCTTATAATTCTCAGCAGCTACCCGCGAAACACTCGAAGTACCCCAGAAGATGACAATCTGACTGTTGCCAGCAGCTTCAACAAATGAAACATACCTAAGAAATTACCCAGTGGAAAGAGTCAAGGCATACTAAATTGCTCTACAAGAACCCAAAGTTCTCAACGTTAATTTCCATTCATAAGTAACACTGCATTGCGACATGCGCACATCTTTCTGTACGGTTTTCGTCTCGATTCAGTGCTCATGCATTTTCACACGAGTGTCAAAGAACCGCGCTAGCCCAAGCCTTAAGCCGAACAGGGCTGACTTCGTAGATGGGTGCCGTTCGTTGCGGCTTTGACAATACAACTACACTTCTAGCTGACACGCAAAGGACTGAGCATAAGTGGAGTGGATCCTTTCCACTTATGCTTTGTTGCCCGTGCCTCTTCGGAAAGCCGGCAGGTAAGCACTTCATTGTGACCGTATCGGCTCGCAGTCGAAAGCTGCAATGTAGGTGAAACAATAAAGATCCCATCCGGAAATCGACAAGAAATCCAAACCTTGCACTATAACTAAGCACAAGGCAATTGCATGCACCTATCCAAATGAATTTATACTTCTTGTTGCGCCACAGCTATTGTGTCCTCATCGTCAGCATCTGTCCCTCCATCCAGTACTTTCCCTTCCCCTGACGAGTCTCCCAACAGCCGGGCCTCTTCAGATTTGCCTTGTTTTTCTGCAAGTTCCCAAACACAAAGAAATAATCAAGAAGCTGGGTGGGGAGAGTAGGAAACCCTTCCTATGCATTTAAGAAACTCACGCAGCATCAAGGGTAATAGCGTGTGCACGCCAAGAACATTACAAGCATTTGCCCAGCAGGTTTGGTGCATGCTGCGTCCCCCAACTTTCTGCTTCTGCGCACACTCCACCCTCGGACCAGGGTGTGGAGGGCCCTTCTGGCGTACCTTTGGCAGTCCCTTTCTCCTGAAGCTCCTTGACCTCCTTCCAACTCTTCATCTCTGTTCCATCGCCCCCCACGCTCATAACTGCGTACAACCGCACCTCACTACCCATTTACTACGTAGTACACAGAATAGATTCCAGAGTCCTTCTTCTCTCGATACAGGACAAAAGGCACTGCGACAAACTCCTGCCTCGGGCAGCTGTAGAAGAGGGCTCAGGTGTTCGAATCTGCGGCTGAAGTGGTTAAGTAAACAAAATTAGCAGATAAAGCCCGAAGAACAAAAGCGCATTAGCAATGTGCCAAAAGCTGCATTGAGAACGTCTCAGTCATATAAGTCAATTTCTAGCAGTTTTCTGCAGAGGTGCGCCCACCGAATGCATGACTGAGGAGAAGATGCAGGACATACGGCCTGAAAAACGCATCAGAAAGCATGTACGAGCCAGCATAGACTTGGACAAAAGGCCCACCCTGTAGGAGCAGTTCAGGTAGGATGACACCATAGTGCGCGCCTATGCACACAACTGTATACGTGTCAGAGTACACCGATGTGCGCCGCTGGACTCTCACCCCAACAGCGCTTCCCAGCCGTAGAGAACAAACGGCAGCGCCAACGCGGACTGAAGAACAGAAAGAGACATTTTCCGCGTGAAAAACATTATAAAGTCTGTGTCACAAGAGAAACCAAAAAAGTGGTATGTTTGCAGCAGTACTTCTGAGAACGCGTCGGTGGGTGCTAGGAGGTACGATATGCCACAGAATGGGGACGTTGCAGGGTCTCTGGCTCACAGGAAAGAAAAAAGCGATGTAGAGAGCATTGACAACGATCATGAGAATTATAAAGAGGCAGAAGTCGAGAAAGAAGTCGACAGCCATCATGCCGATAAAGACATATAAGAGCATTATTTTCCGTCTGTAGAACCCGACGCCCCAGCAAATGACGGCGACCGTGTCGAATACTCCTGCAACAAATTTGCATACAGGTTAAATTACTAAGTGAAACGACAGAATAATCATTCACTGTATGCTCAGATATGGGTACAGCCCTCCTTGGAGATATTTCACTGTAGTACTATGTCGCCTACCGCGGACTGTAGTAAGTAAAGTCATTGTTTTCCAGAGGACAGCCAGACTGCCAGATATAACGTTGTAGTACTTCAGGGCCGTAGTGGGGTCATCAAGAGTCATTATCCTGTCCCTTATATCTTCCAACAGTGAATCTACTGGGCCCAAATAGGATGTCAAGTAAGCACCCGCCACAAATTGCACCAACGCAAGAATGACACCTATAGGGAGAAACATCAAACGCAGATACCACCCGTATATACTGCTGGACGTCCCACATGGCTGCCGCGCAATATTAGGCAACTAGGAAAACTGCGCAATACGTCTTGAATCACGTTCCACGAAGGTAGCGGCACAGTGTCGCTGGATGCTGCTGAAGTGTGGTGGCACAGCTCCTTCTTTGGAATAAAGAAGGTCGTAAACGCTGAAGCTTACTGATGCCAAGCCATATGAAGGCAAAAGTGCGGAGAGAGCAGCATCGGAACGCCCTTTTTGCTCCCCCGCAGCAGGCCCCTAGAAGGTTGCACATCTTGCAAAAAAACAGCTGTGCCGCTGTTGGAGCTTAAGAGGAATTAGCTATCTTGTATGCCCGTTTGGTCCTAAATGCTGGTTTGTAGAACGGTCGCCTTCCTTCGCACACGGAGAAGTGGGACTCCTTGTCGGGAAGAGAACGGGAAGGTCCCACTATTGAAGTACCAGTTGCTCAATTAAAATCTTCCTTGATACTCAGTCGTGTTGATGTCTGACAAAACTAGGAAAATTCAACGCGAAGCACCCAGTCAGCTGCATGGGTGGCTCCTACTAGGCTTGCTTCAGCCGCTGCTAATCCATGTTGCCCCTTGCTTAATTCCTTCAGCATTTCCTTCAAAATCAGCAAAACATGAAGCAAAAAAGGCAATGCTTTACCAAGTGAGGCAAACGATAAACAGGCAGTAGCGCCTCCGCCAGTGCGGCGTGGTGGCCAGCCACAGCAATCGACAGTTTCCACTAAAGCCAGCTGCAGAAATTGTCAAGATACCCGAGATCTTGATATTTTAAATAATTAGTTATGGGAAGATAGCAGGCCAATGAGAAAGAATTCTGTGTTGCTAACCCTTCGTAATATTGCGATCGTGGCGCTGCCACCCCGACTAGGGGGTTGTTTGGGTCTCCTTGGGTCTGCGTTTGAGCGTGTCCAGCACTTTGAGCTCTTATCTTCTTCATGCTCTTACATAAGATAAAACGTTGGAAATAAGAGTAAACAAGCAAAATGATGACAAAGAGGAACATTTTAATGCTTTGCCTGCAGTGGCAGCAGTCCACTGGACCGGCGTTCGAAAGGAGAAACTGAAGATATCACGACCAAATAAGTTGAATGCAGCGACGCCAGTACGGTGGTTTTGACACCAACGGATACACCAAAATCACGGCTAGGTAACAACACGTGACAATGGTACAGAAATGCAACGTAAAAGGCGCAAAAATCAATTGGCTCGGAAGGTAGCACGCAACTGCACAAGAAAAGAACTGAATAACCCGAGATACTGCTGCCAAAATTGTGTCTCACTAAAAGTACAATATTCGACTGAGGTAAAAGGAGCAAGAGCACCAGTCTGTGGCATGTGGTGTCCGAAGTGTAGGCGAACCAGGCTATGTGTTACTGCTCAACTCGGCGCGAACACAATGAACGGCAGGGAAATATGTAAGGTAAGCACACCATGTTTTAGGGATTTTCGCCGCCACAAGTGACTGAAGGATGGCGGCCAGTTCTTACCGCTTTCCCGCACGTGCTGGACTTAAAATGTAGAGCGTAAGCACATGGGAAAGCTCCATTCACCATTGTTTGTCCCTATAATCCTGAAAGTGGCAAGCCCATATATGGTGTAAATGCGTGCCTTTATTCATTACATATGCATCTGCGCGTAATGTATATGTTTTCACCGCCTACGCCATTCGTTTTTGTTATAGCTTACCTCTACTGGGGGAGGTAGTCTGACCGATTACACTTCGTTCCGCAGGATTTTGCCTGGGGAATTCACTACATCATCAAAAGGCAAGGCACGTTACGCCTAATGGTGTGTAAGGAAAATCCGGCTTTCTTTCAAAAGCATCGGAGTTCACTGAGGCATGAATTCTGGAAAGGGTTTTGTATAATTGTTGCTGCGTAGCGCAGACTATTACGGCCCACCCAACAATAGACCTAGTGCGACCAGAAAACGGTTTCCACTGAAGAGGGAGTCCTATTCGCAAAACTAGTTCTAAAACCCTCATTCACTCGCACGGGCATCTCCATTTGCTCGCCCCAGTTCCCTACTGCTGATAAGCAAAAACCAATGTTGCATACTGCGTTAGCAACAAGCATGATCACGTTTCCGCTACGGCGGCACAACTAATAGGCCTAAGAAAGACCCACACATCCTGAGACTAGCTGGACTGAACGAAGAGCAGAAACAAGTAACTGTACGTGCGCCCCGTGCTGAAGCGCTGAAAATAGTCCTTCATCCAAAACCAAGATAAGGCTCCCACTACGCAGTCCTCATCTGCGCAAGCTTTGAACATATTCAAGGAAGGCCGGTCTTAAAAGGGCCCCTATGGAGCGAAAGCTCATAGTTGAGCCTCAGGCACGGCCAGTAGCTTGGCCAAACTATCTGCTTATTGCTCTTAATTTTTCCCCACACAGCTCTTCATATGTCAGGACGACCGGGCATGGGAAAGCTACGAGCGAGGGCCTTTACCCGATCTCGCAGATTTGAAATGCGAGGGTGAGAAGGGCTGACATGCTTTCGGAACTCCGCGAGTTTCTTTCCCGACTTCTCTAGAACCAAAAAAGCAGCGCAGTTTACATTACAACCATACAGCCGGTGCTGCTGTCTATGACTCGCTCTCTGCTTGTGATTCCCCAACGTGTGTCGCTTCACTTCACTGTAGAGACCACCTCACCGAGGGGAACAAAGCTGCTTTCTACAGCAAGCTTCCCAAAGGCGAGCTCGGCCGGTGTATAAACGTATCAGTTATGTCTCTTCTATGCGAGCTTTTCAGTATACGAACAGGCACGTTCCTACGGATAATCCTCTTACCTGTTTGCACATCTGTTCACATGTACAAATGCACGCACATTGTGCTCTTAGTTAAGGCATACCTTGAATCTCACAGCAAATGTCAACCGCCTCCCTGATAAAATCTGCAACCAGCTTAAACTCCTCAGCGCCGAAGCCGCGAGTCGTCATGGCCGGAGTCCCAATGCGCACACCTGAGGATCGGAGCAGACTTGTGCATAAAATTATATTTACTTGGCTATTGCAAACCACGTTCAAATGATAAAACCGGCCGTAGATGGCACCTAGTCATTTTCGGTTCCGCAGCGAGCTGCCTCTGTACCAATTCGACAACAAGCGGTGCCATCGGTGGCACAATCTACCCCACACTACTCTGATGATCCTCCAAGTAGTATTATGATGACCCTCCACATCCCCTATGTTAAGCCCCTAAACACTCATACCCTAGCCCACCCGTTGGAATTCCTGATGAGTCCCCAGCGATGGAATTCTTATTCAACGTGATGTTGGCCATATCACAAATCAACTGAAGCTTCGCGCCTGCTCGCGAAAGAAACGATAACCTATCTTTGCGCCGTCATAACTCATTAAAACTTTTAGAATTAAGACATATGAATCCATCTGGATGCTTGAGGGACGAGCTGGACACATGGTTTCCTGAGCTGGCCCTCTCATTTGGGCGCAGATAAGTATCCACGCAGGGCCTCGAAGAGTGTACGCATACTGTCACTGCGCCAACCTGAAGATACTTGCTAATAGCGTAATTGCTTAATTATCATCGCTCTCTCACCTCACCTGTCAGGCCCTGAGGCTTCAAATCAAGGAGCAGCAAGTGGTTGTCTGTCCCACCAGTGACGAGCTGCAAGCCATGATTTTGTAGCTCACGCGCCAGCACCTTGCAGTTTTCTAATACACAGCGCGAAAATGCACGCCATTCAGGCGTGCAGGTCTGAACGCAGATGCACTTTCCTCACGCACTTCGTTGTTGTGGCCGCACCTCACGTACTATGTGTTTGCAGCTGCAGTGACGTCGCGAAGTCTCTGTAAGTAGATAAATCATTATTGATCGCTGATACGAGGCTACACCAATCTTAGCTGAACGATTACGATAAACGGTTCCCTGTGTCACGTGCCTGCTTGAGCTGGTGAGCAACAGCTGCGATATGGTTCTCGTGCGGTCCTCCCTGCAGCCCAGGGAAGACTGCTGAGTCAATTCTAGAGGCTCCATTTGGTACGCGCCTAGTATTGACAAAGATAATCCCGCTACGAGGGCCCCTACAAACAGACACAGCAAGAGCATCTGATGCATAGGAGGGACCCTGCTGTCTGCTTGCTGGTGTGGTGGAGGGCATGCATATGAAGCACAAAGGGGATCCTTCTGGCATGATAACTTAACAAAGCACAACTGCTGCTCCAAGTAATCGCATAGGCAAAAATAGTGCACAAGTGCCTGCCACACGTCAGACGGATAAAGTGCTCGAACCTGAGCGTCTTGTGAGTTGTCGTTGTCACTACATCGCAGTACTTAAAAGGCGACTCAAATATTCCAGCGGCGACGAAGCCGCTAAAGTGAGCCATGTCGCACCAAAGGATGGCCCCCACTTTGTCTGCAATTTCTCTAAACCTTTTGTAGTCCAGCAGCCTGCGCAGATTCAGCCCCAAAATTGCAAAGGTACTGCCTGCGAGTGGAATGGCACGAGAAAAGTAAGCCCTGAAAAAAAGAAAAAAGGCCAGTAGCAAGCTGCAAAGCTGCAAAGCCCAATGAAAGCTGAACGCAACTGATGCCTATCGATCCACTCCCAAAATGCACCTGAACACCCGGCCATGAAGCACTCGTGGCGACAGGTCACGAAGCCCTGGTGACAGCTGAGAAACATGGCCGTAACAAAGCCTGCACCGATGACATACCGAGGATAAGCTGAGTGCCCACAAATTATCATTTTGGGCCTAAACACAGTGGCTACCTTCTCCAGGTCGTCGTAGTCTATGAGCCCCGTCTTGGGGTCCAAGCCGTACGGCAATGACTCGTAGAAAAGTGACGTGGCGCTTATGCGTCGAGATGGAGTGTACGCTCCATGTGTCAAGTGGCCGCCTGAACACATGACAGCGAATCACGGAAGTGCAAAACTTGTGCAACAACAAGGTCCCACAGGAGCACCACGGTCTGCTACTGTCCTGGCATTTGTCCGCACTGAGTTCCAAAGATGCACAGGCCTCTGCTGCTGTCCGGATATTTATCCGCATTGAATGTATATCCGATGCCCAATTAAGACTCCAGCTTCGTTTCCTTTTGTGCACTGTGTGCCGAGCTACCGTCATTGAGTCCGAGGCCCATGAACCGGTCATGGGGCTGCAGTAGAGCCATGAGCACAGCGAAATTTGCAGGGCTTCCAGAGTGAGGCTGCACATTGACGTGCCATTCTTCCGGGTCTAAGCCAAACGCCTCCTTGGCCCGTTGGATGCAAAGAGCCTCGATCTGATCTACGAACTCCATGCCACCGTAGTAGCGGGCCCCCACGGAACCCTCGGAGTATTTGTTCGTCAGGCAGCTCCCTAGACATTCCTGCACTGCTGTGCTTACGAAATTCTGAGAACAGGCACGGGTAAAGGCAGAGCGGCTAACTTTTCTGGGCCCCAAATTCAAAGCCAAAAGTGATTATCTTCTGTCAGCATGCACCACGCAGAGCTAACCGTCCCAACGCGTCATCTAGACCCAAGGCTGCTGTGTCCGGCTCACTTCCGAGGCAATAAGCTCGATACAGTCAACTTGCCGCTCTTTTTCTTTCGCCAGAAGGGTGTACAACTCAGGGTCCGCCTCCTTGAGAGGCTGCATGCATTAACATCACCTCCACAAACCTTGCCAACTATGAATTCCCCATCCCCAGTTTCATGTGCACAGTCGAGACAAGTGAGTCAAATCAGACCACATGAGTTCATCGGGATGATAGGCCTTGGCACAGAGTACGCAGCAAACAATTAAGATCCATTAGCTGCCGATCCTTCAATCTCGAGTCTTTGAAAAGGTAAAACGGCTCGCTTGTTCACAGCCGAGATGAACTGGTCCTAAAACAATATGTCACATAATTAATACTTGCCAGGTCATCCAGAGAGATAGCCATCCTTGCTTGAAATGGGGGACGATGCAGTGATCCCTGCGGCGAGCCTGTGAGCGGCATTTCACCGCCTACAACGTTGCAGGGAACAACTGCATGCTAATGAGGCTGTCTTGGGGTGTAATAGCCAAAGGTAATGTAATTTAAATGAAACTTTAGGTACTGTGGCGGAAGGTTGAGTCACATGAAGCACGGACTAACCCGCGACGTGCTTTTTGGTGGGGTTGCTCGGCAGCAGTTCAATTCAGTGACCACATGGGATCTGCGGTGCCAAGGAGTCATAAAAAAGTTTCACTTAGTATCCTGTCGCAAAATACGGCAACTTTTACTAATTCAAGTAATTGTTGCCCCCAGAGGGGTACCATGTGTTGAGGGTGAAGCAGTCGCAGCACCTGCAGCCAATGCCACGGTGGCCGCTCCGGAAGATCTCCATCCCTATATATGCATGTCTTATAGTTAAGACTTAAACGCTCATTTTCCTCATCGTGATGGTCGGGTCTACGGCACCATGAGGATTCCGGAAGCTCGCCCTTCGGTGACCCACGACCACAGGACTTACGCCCCGGTAAGGCTTGTTCAGTTTCGGCCCATTAAGCCTCTGGGAAAGGCTGAAAGCTCCGTACAGGTCATCAACACTAATATTTGCCTCCTCCAGGTGAACCAACGGTACGTTTCAGCCGCGTGTTTTGTAGCAAAGGTTAATGACGCGCTCGAGTATGTGAGTACACTCTGGCTCCTATTCTGACTCAGGCGGGATGCCAGCCTTAAATCAACTTTAAACGTACAATTAGAAACCATCATAGCAATTACGTAGCAGAAACGCCGTGCACAACTGAAAAGGATGTTTGCTCCAAACAAAGTAGGCTCCGAGCACATGGCAGGAAAAGCAGCCAATGCATTAGTTAGAAAAAAACGGTTACGCGGCTGGCAAGCGCCAGCAGCGTGGCTCCCTGCTATGATATGCGATCCATGGGTCGCCAGCACAAAACTGGAAGAGGGTATCGCCGCTCTTTCCAATGCGCTGCAGTCCTTTTGGGACCCTTAATGGGGAGAGGGACTTGCATATTAGGCCTCCAGGCACTTCACGGGTCGCCTGCCGTCTTCCCTCATTCTAAGGAACAATCAAACAGACAAGAGCATCAACATCCGATTAGTTCTGCTCTGATCACCCGCTGGCGTCCTTGGCGCTGTCACAAACTGTCGTATCTGCAACTTCCACGCGTTAAAACATGCAATTATCAGCGCTTGTGCCCAGTACAGTCCAAAGCGGTCAATGCAGCGTCAAGAATGGACGCGCAATTAGCCTTGATATGCATGCAGGGTCATTCACGGGTGCACTCCACAAGAGGACGCTGAGCTGCTCATAGGGGTGCGGCTAACCACTCATTAACTCATTCAAGAATGGGCCAAGCTTCTAAGTTAATCGTCCGGCGTAATGTTAAAACGTGTCTGCCGGGACACTGCGGGTGATTTGTCGTCTTGTGGCCGGGGCGAGTTTTGGCGGGGATGCAGAGTTTTGGGGTCTTTGTGGGCATATTGATGGCCTGTAACAGCGGCATCATCACTCGCCTCAGAGCTAAGCCTGCGGTGAGTTACTGTTGTTGCGGGCGGCGGAGTTGCTTGCACTGCTGGTAATGTACTATGGGGTGCCACCGTAGACGCGCTCCCCTCACGCCGAAACGTCTGCTGGCGACGTTCACTTCGTTCAATAGCTTCCCCATTGTACGGATATGTGAACCACTGAGGGTGGTTATGGAGGATATGCTGTCTCAGCAGAGATTCATAAACTTCGAAAAAAAGCCTAGGAATCCAACACATTCAAACAACACGTTTGACCCACTTTCCCTTTTGCACCAGAAACACGGCGAAAATTCCCCTTCACCTCAGCTGTAACTTAATTCATACTGACCTTGCTTGACACCCAGCCACAACGCGAAAGAGGTCAACTAGCATATTCAAACAGGTGAAGGCAATACAATCGCCAATCCTATAAAATCAAATGGATGTACGCGGAGAGTGCTCGTGCACACAATTGAACCCAAAATCTGCGCATTTCTACCTACTTTTCCATTCGGCCATCACGCCAGTCCAACAGGATTACACGACCGCTTGAATCTGTCAGGCTCCACGTGCTGGTTGTGGCAGAGGGCTGCTGTTTAGGCCGACAGCCAGTGCCTCGCGCCGTCCCGTTTAGCCTGAAGAAATTACAAGTATCGAGATCTTACGCAAAAGCGAAACAGCAGTCACCTGCATGTGGTAGCAAGAGCTGATCCGGCAAATTCATTCTGTTGCGAGCAACTCTAAAAAGCCACTTCACCACTTAGTGCCGTTTGTGAAGGGTTCAATGCATTAACATTTTCCCACTATAAGCTACCTAGTGAGAAACAGTAGAATAGCTTACCGCCTGACAGTACCCTTGGTGTGTGTGTTGCCAAATACACCTGATTCATTGCGAGGCGCTGCCGGGGCAGTAGGTGCCGCGTCGTCCGCCTTCATCTCTGCTTCTGCCTCAGCCTTGCGTCGCCGGTTACGAGAAGTCCTCCGTTTGTGGCGACCAGCCCAACGAGACTCCCTCGACGGGTAGCGGAATAGAGCAGCACTAGGACGGTTCCGATGTGGGCCGCCTGCAGCTCCCGGTGCTTGGAAGCTCCCAAAAGTTGCCGGTGGTGCAGGACGCCTTTCCGGTTCAGAAAGAGACTTGCTGCTATCGGCATCACTACCACTGCTCATCCAGCTGCTGTGCGTCTCGTTGTTGCTACTAGAGCTTAGGCTGTTGCTGCTTAAATCACTGTCGCTGCTACTGTCCGCCGAATCAACCATACTACTGCTGCTACTGCGTCCCAGCCTCTCCACGCACCGACAAGGTGACAAAGGGGTAGCCAAAGGGAGACCATCATCTACCGTAGTCACGCCAGAGTGGGCAAGCTCTTTACTTTTCTCAGTGGCGGGGAGCCTGCTGTCTCGTGACGAATCCGCCGTCCTCACTGAAGCAAGAGCGGTACCACGTGTTTTCAGTGCCGTGCAAGGATCTCCTACGTCTGCCTCCAAGGGGGACTGTGCATCAGCCCAATCCTCAATAGTTGTGCACGACCTGACCAATGAGCCTTCTTCCAGTTCTGCACTTTGTTCTACCCGCTGAGGTGTGACCGACAGCAAATCTGCGCGGCTGACTGACTCTCTACTTGGGAGAGATGCCGCTGCTATACCTGCACCAACAAAACCGCCGCAGCGACTGCAAATCCTAGTACCTTCCCCTGTAGTCTCCGTCACGGTACCCTCATTATCTTCATCCCTCCTTTTCTTCCTGAACGCTTTCTTCAATTTGGCCTCGAATGACCCCCGCCGCAACCCCTGTTGTTGTGTGCCTGGATCTCCCTGTAGCTCTGCAAGATCCATAATTCCGAAGCCTAGCCTGTTAGTGCTCATTAGCGATGTGGAATCTAGAGCTAGGTAAGATATTTCCAGGCTTCGTCGAATCTGAGTAAAGCCATAAACGCATGTTGTGTGATGTTTAAGCACCTGAACTGCAGTGCGCACCACATCCTACCTGCATTCCGATTGCCACTGGGCAGCGGGTATTTCCAAACGCAGATTCCTACTAATATTCACAGAGTTCTCCATGGCAAGAAAGAATACACTGCACGTCGACTGAGGCTTACAAGGTGTTCCAGAGGCGACGGAATGTCGAAGTCATCACGCACAGCAATTGCTGCTGTCTCCCTAACAGTCAAGTGGTGGCGGGCGCAGATCTGAAGTAGCTTTGTAGCCAGACGAAGCGTTCTCAGGCAGTTGTCTCTCAAGGCAACTCGGCGTGACAGACGCTCCAAGTCCTTGTCTACGTCGAAAGAGTATATCAGGCGCAGCTCGCTTTCGCTGTATGGCTCCTGGAGAAACGCACAAACAGCCAAGAACTACGGAAATATACAATGAGCCTTGCCCAGTGCAAACATACGGCCGACGATTCAGACTGGTTGAAGACTCCTTAAACTGGTGTCCAAAGTCAACGCATCAATAGATCACATACTGGCACGTGGACTAGCGCTAAACGCCTCATAGTAGTAAGTCCGTTAGACGCCGGAAGGAGACGCAGTTATGCAGACAACACTAGCCGTGTACTTACTTTGCTCTGGGGCCAATCAAACCACACGAGGTCCAACGAAGCGACGTCAAGAACATCCGTCAAGATCATGCCGTGATCGATTGGAATTAATCGAAACCTGCGGTTGGACCACCTGAAGCAACATCTCCGTCACGCTAAAACTCTTGTGGTATGGTCCACTGCTAGACGTTCGCCACGTGACCAGAAAGTATTGTGGAAGATTAGTCGACTTACTTTGTAGGCTTCCCATCAGGTGTAAGTACCCCTGTAGCCGCAGAAGCAGCGGTTTCAGCACCAACGACTGCGGCCTTGTCAGCGACGCAAAGTTGAGTTCCGCAAGAGCCCACAGCAGAAACACTGCGCAGCAATTTGCTCTGTATCTGCTTAACAACCCCTCCTGAGGCCCGAAGGCTCCGCGAGCTGCTGCCAGCCGATGGCTCCTTTTGATACCCTACGATTGGAGCCACTAAAATGTTACTATCATTCCGGTCAAGATTCATAACACGTAAATCAAATATAGCAATACGGTGTACATCTCCAACAGAGAACAGACGCGCGTCAAAGTTCCCCACACATTCCTGCAGGAGACAACACAGACGACATGAATGTCACACGCTGAATGAGCGCAGGCACATACTTTCTACACAATGCGTTCACGGCAGATCAGCCTTACTTTGGCCTCTACAAACGCCTGAAAGCTGCCAACCTTCCAGGAGACGCTAGGAGATGACTCGCTGCGGACATATGTACTCATCATCACGTCCCCGTCGACCTGCTCAACGCGCCGCAGGACAGAGTGCAAAAAAGATGAGTAAGTGAGCTCATGCGATGCATCAAGTGATCTGTCATGCCGCAGAATCAACCGCCTCGCCATCAGTCTTCTCCTCTGCATCTACCTGAGCCTCTTGCATCTCTAAATTGTCCGTGAAAGCGCGCACAAACTGGAAATGCTACGGGGCAAGTAATGTCCTCCCTACACAGGCGGAGTGCCACATGATAAAAAAACAAAAGGTCAGGCCGAATGGCGTACTTCGATTTGGCCTTTACTGCAGAAGGCTGGGTGACACGCCTCTACCATCATAGTCGCAGGAACGCCAGCAAACCCGCCATAGCTTGCGTCAAGGAGGTAGGCAGCGAATTCCCGACCCGCCCCCTCACCGCTAAGCACCCCTCCCCGTAGCCCTTGCTGACCCAAGCGTCCCTCGTAGCCCCGGGGATTACACGGGGCAAATGCCTCTTCATCCTGAAAGCACGAAAAGCACATGCAACAATTCCACGGGCCAAGATATTTCCGTCTGCGAAAAATTGGCACTCGACGGAAAAGTTCGTTGCCCGATGTCCTTCGATTGTGCTTTTCCTTTCCCTTACCTCGGGCTTGAACACTGCCACAGGGCGCCGACGACCGTCAAACAAAATATAAGTGCCACCAGTCCCATCCATAGTCAGTTTAGGCGCCACATTCCTGCGGAAGCCGAGGCGGACCTGAAGCACGATAAACGGATCAAAGATCGAAGACGCACCGCCGTCTTGGTCGAAGAAAGTGGACGCGACAGCAAAATGAACAGCACATCGTAATACCTATTGGAAGTGACATATTATGGGCAAGTCTCTCACGTAGGGGGCCCACAAGCAATGTATCTCGCTACAGCTGGCAGCAGCACTCTTACTTCTTCCAAAATTCTAAGAAGCTCTTTGCTGCGAAAGGTTTGACTGCGTGCGAAGGGCCTGATAGAGGCCTGAGCGCTGCCCCCTCTTACAGCCCAGAGTAGTCGCTTCACAGGATTCTCGAAGAAGACAGTCATCGGCCGCCAGTTTGGCAGTTCACTTCCCCTGAAAATTAACCGTACATCTTTTACCTGAGCAAAAACCCCAGATTCTATGCATGTTGTGCTGGAGCAACATGCCCATTTCTTACACTTTTTTTGCTTTCCATCACACAATAGATGTTGCCTGCACGAGGTATCCAACTGTCATACAGACACCACCTTCGTATATTCCATCGCACTTTTGTTTAACCACTTGGTCGCATTCCAACAGACAGCAGCGTAGGTGAGGTTGCACGAGACAGAAAACCAACCTACAAGTGCAACACATGACAATTTTGTTGACGTTGTGAATCCGCGATTGCTTGAATGCTGACGTTACCTGCATGGACGCTGGGAGCCTGAGCTTTTTAATGAGTAGCCTCTTGACCATTTGTACGTCATAGAATGGATAAATATCAAGTTCGCAGGACCTCGACCCGTGGAGCTCTTCGAAGCAGACCCGGAAATGTAGATCATCTCCATCAGCTCCTCTTAAAGCGTTGTGGGTAGAGAAGTAGTACAGCGGGTGGGACGGCAGCATCATCACTCCGCCTCCTCCACCTGCCCCGCCAGCAGCGGCCAGCCCTTCTACAGCAGGCATCGTCTACGGTGTACGTGCAGCAGAGACCACTGAAGTACACTCGTTGCAACTGCTTTCACTTGCGGTGAAAGCCGCTCGGGGCAGCTTAATATTTCTGGCAAGACGTGAAGGACGTTCGAAGCGTCAGTGCGCCCATCTGATGCGGTTTCTGTCAAATGAGGAGTGCATGGGATGCCTCGCTGCTGCCATGGAAGCGTGTCCTGTTAAGCTAAATGTCGCTGCAGCGCTAGCCTCTGCTAGTGCTGCAGCGGAGCGACTTAGAAGTAGTGACCCCAGTGAACGCAACGCGTGACTCTGGAGCCAGCGGTTGGTACAGAGTAGCTTGAAGTGTTAATAGAGTGCTCCACAAGACGGCCACGAATTGCTTCTGGTGCTGCAGCAACTGCTGCTATCGTTTCAGGCTGCTGTGGCGCGGTAGCAACATTGGGGAGCTCAGCCGTACCAGGCTAGAGAGAGTGCTTCTCCGATCATCTCTGGCCACTGTTTGCTTTGCTTTGCAGGGCCACAACTTGTGTGTTGCCCCGTAGGCCCCCTCGCGGCCTGCGAGGCAGCGATGCTCCCTACGCAGGACGGCCCTGGGTGTGTTGGCGAGATCCAGAAGCCATTCGAACAGAAATGTCACGAGCCAGCCTCGTTCATTCAGCTGGTGTCGCTGAAGACGCAGTCGAAAAGCTCTTTACTCTGGAGATGAGCATGCAAGCAAGAGGGCGTCCCTGGGATGGCTGGAATCTTCAGTGGCAAGAAAGGCCTTGAGTCACACAGCTGGTGGGACTCAAGGGAAGGAAGCACTGGCGCAACTACGATGCGCCCGTCGAAGCCCGTAGCAAGCGGCGATGCCTGTATGGATGCTACGTGGCCTGGCAGCTCTCTATTCACAGAGAAGGTCAGCATGCAGATCAGCAGGCGTGGGTGTGGTCGATGGGGTTCGCCGGTCGGCTGAGAGGGGGCTGCGCTGCAGTTGTTACGTTAGAGGCGGGGTGTTTGAGCAGCTTCTGCTGACTTATTGACAGAGCCTCTGCCGCTGCTAGCGCTTTATAGAGGTAGAAAAGCCTCACTGGTGGAGTCGGTGGTAAGCAGCGCCCCACGAGTGGCGAGAGCCACAGGGAGGGCCGAGCAGACACGCAATGGCCAAATAACAGACAAAAAGTAACTTTCAAGCGAAACTCTGCTTGCCATAGCGCACAGCAGGGTCAGCTCTTGCCGCTTCAGTTACTCTTGCCGCTCCAGCTCAAGCATACATACAGCCGCCTCCACGGCTACCGCCTACAAGTGATGTTTGGCTGCTGATGACGCACCATCCCCCCCATGAATCTTTAGATCTTGAATTCAATAGAGCTTCAATTTGTTTCAGGTGGGCATGAGAGAGCGTGTCTCTGGGTTCACATTCACTGCTGATTACGTTCGGTTGCTCTGCATAAGGACTGTAAGAGGCAACGCGCCCGAGCCAGACACCTGCAGCAAGAACGGTTCAAGGAAGGCTTTTGTAGTCAGTTCAGGCGTGGAACTTCCCGCTGTTAAAGGCGGAAGTTATATAATGATTACTTGTGTATCCTTGCTTAAGATGTGCAGTGCTTCTGAAGTGTGCGTTGATTGTTGAAGCTCCTTGACGGGTATCTCTGCCCGCGTAGCCCGAGCAGACGGCCGGCAAATGAACAGTACGATAGTGTTTTCGGATGGTTTATCGGAGACTCTCCTTGGAAGAAGAGCTATGCCTTTCGCATTGCTGTTGTGTTACCAGCTTGGAATGGACGGACAGGAAGCAGTGCGCTGAGGCTCGGACATTGCCAACTGCGTAGGTAGGCGTTTACAGGTACAAGTAGGAAAGCCTTGTTGGGCACTTTTGTTGATAATGCTGTAGACTGCTTTTCATGAAAGGGGTGGCAAGTGCTCGCCACGCCCTTTTGAACTGCGTTGCTGGGGACGAGGGGATTCCGTGGCGTTGTGAAAGTTTCGCCCTTCCAGCTCTAGCTGCAAATTAGCTTCTCTCGCGAAACGCGCTGGGGATCGAGCCCAATAGTATGTTCGGGCGCTGTACGAAAGGGACCCTAAATCTGCTTGTGCACGCTTGGACATGTAACCCATAGCAGTTCGCCTCAGAACCAGCGAAAACCGAATGCCGTGCTAGATGTGATCCAATCAAGGCATTCTTTCACAGTAGTTTGCTATAGGCCGTCAACAGACAAGGTAATATGCCAGTAGTATGCAGTTCTTCCCCGGACGCTAACGGTAATTTTGCTACTACCTAGTAGTAGCAAAATTACCGGCTGGCTATTTTCACCTTTGCATAATTCTCTAGTGAGGAGGGCGCTTCGTTTCTGTTTCAGCTGGGAAAGTATCATTTTAGTTTCTCCGCATTAGAAGCATTCGTGCAGAAGCAGTCTGCACATTGCGCGAAGTGGTACGAGCGCCGTGGCAGTGATCAGCGGCATGAGTAGGCATTTTTTTATCGAGTCGCATGTTGAAGCAACGACTGTGGTACTCAAGTTGTGTATTGAATGATTCATGGTAGTTCATTGCTGCACCATACAGCACTTGTTCACTAGTGGGTCTACGAATCTGCTCAGAAGACTGCCAGCATACGGGGACTTAACGGCCTGTGATAAAGGCTAGGTCTTTAGCAGCCCCACGCACATGAAGATAGCAAAGAAGTAGATGATCACATGCGTGTGGCTGATAGAGCGCCTAAATAAACTCTGCAGCTGAAATGCAAGAAGTTCTGACACGCAACAATGCTCCAATTCGTACATGTAAAGCTTAAAAAAAGAATCTAAATTGGCGGGCGCATGACCGGTCTGCGCAGAGCTGCGAAAGCCATGAGCATTGCAAAAAAGTCAGAATGCCAACACTTCTCTCTTGAAGTGAAAGCTATAAAATATATATGACGCTGGGTGACGACTTTTGATGGTCGGTTGAGGTCGTGCGTCACCGATTCCGTGCATAAACAAAAACCATTTCAAGCGGCAATCACCCCTGAAACTCCACCGGCAGGAGGAGAATATCTTTCACCATTGGTGTGTCAGTCTGAATATTTACAAGTGCTGACAGAATTTGCTGAGCTCCCTCTCCAAATGGTGTAGAGTTTTAGGGTAGAAGTGGAGCCGTTAGAAATTCATCATCAGTTGTTTCATCGCTGATGTCTTGTGAGCCAGTTTGTGTAGGCGAGCTCGCACGTGACTCATCTGCTGATACATCAGACGTTTTATCTTCCGCAGCCGCACCCTGCTGACTAGACACCGTTTCTTCGCGAAGCGGGACTGAAACAACTTCCAGTTCTTCTGAAGTTTCTGGCTTTGCAAGCTCCTCAGAACCCAAGGGACTGCTCTCGCCAACTGCAGATTCTCTGGTTGGGCTCTCTGTGCTTGGCTGTTCTCCTGGCTGTTCTCCAGATGGTACAGCTTCTATTTCTTGAGGCGGTGCAGGCGCGCCAAGTTGCTCACGAAGCTTCTCGCTTGCTGCAATTCTCATTTCCCTGTCCTGAGCTTTGCCAACGGGCCGGAGACGCTTCACAATTTTCTTCGCAGTCGCACTGACGCGCTTAATTAACAGAGCTTTGGGAAGTCTTCGCCTCTCGTAGGACCCTGAATATGAAGGAGTGTCACATCAAAGAGTCGGTTTCTGCCGTGCAAGTGCTGGCTTTTTTGAACAACTGAAAACGGTCGGTGGTAGAAGAATGCATGCTATGGAAATGTGCGTAAATGATAAGGCTCCTAATTGCTCAAATAGGTACTAATTATGGGAAATTTTAGGCTTACCAGTTGCCATAAAGCTGAGAATGTCTGCAGCTAGTTGTAGTGGGTTGAAGAACCTAGGCCGGGTAAGCCTTTCTATCGCCCTTTTTCGAACAGGTGTCCGCTCTGTAATTGACCAGTTGACTTCCTTTAGCAGTTGCAGGCGATCGCTTACGGAATCCCAAGGACTGCGCTGGGAAAGTGCAGATATGATTTCTTCAGCTATTCGTTTTCCGAAAGCCAGAACTGGCACGTGCTGGAGGTATTGAAATCCTCTTTCTATCGCTGTCTGAAGCTCCTCAGGCTTGCTTAAAAGAGAGTTGAATATTTCGTTTGCTTTCTCGTTGTAAGCTGCGCAGGGAAAAAAATAATGCCATAGAAAAAGCAAAAATGTTATTAATCTCCATGCTAAGCACAACTGCCTTTGACTCATTCTATTAAACTTCAAGCGGGAAATGATCGTACCTGCTTCGATAGCGTTGAGAGCTTCATTGATCAGTTCAGTCGATGTATGTTTCGCTGCGTCAGCTGCTGCTCCTCCCTCAATGAACTTTTTAACAAAACAATCGTACCTAAAGAGATACTGGCCTTGGATTGTGAGTGGTAAGTATGATGCAATGTCTGACATAGCTTCTTGAAGGCAGTCAACCTTCGCCTTTTCTGAGAGCTTTAGAAGATCAGATATAAGGACAGTGAGTCCAACTCTTTCAAGAAAGGGTGTACTTTCATTTCTCATAATGATATCTCTCGCTTTTGAGATCATTGTTTGTGGCACAATTGGAGACGCTTGACGCAATGTGAAGAAGAAGTCAGCGATGTCGTTGAAGCGGTTAGACGCGCTAACATTCGCCACTGCTTCCCCTGTTAAGAGGGCAGGGTTCTCCGTTAGCTTTTCAAGCTTGTCTACGTCAACCATGGCGTACCAGTCCTCCAGGCAAGGTGGATCTAACACAAGTCAATGAGACGCAATAGATCAAGAAGAAGTAATTGCATGCCGCGAGAAAGCTACTGTCTAAACGCTGCTACTGAATTTCTCTGCACAGCTTTAGTGCTCTGGTGTGCCTTTCAAGACAACAGTTAGTAATTTTGGCCTAACTCACAAGAGACGGTTGCAGCAATTATCTTAGAACCCTTCTGTCCTTCGAAAGCCTCTGCCCCGAATGTGACGCGAGCAATTTTCTTGAAGACCTCTGCCGGTTTGAGAGGATTATGGGGATTCGCGCTGGAATATTCGACGGCCTGGACTACAAGAAATGTCATAACGCCTGTCGCGATATCCACAGATGCGAACTGAGCAGCGCTAATAAAGCCAATCTGGTGCCCCATAAAGGCAGTCAGCAAGCCGCGAAGAAAGGGTGCCACGTCATTGGCGATCCCTAGACGAACTTCGTTCTTGATACGTGTGTTTACGAGGTCTTGAATATACATTTGCACAGGTTTTTTGTCGATCATTGTTGTTTGTACCAGGTCTATTGCAGCGACTTCTTCTTCTTTAGCCTGCTGACGGTTTACCAACTCCAGGAGAAGATAGCATAGAACAACTGATTCGTCCATATTACTAGAAACCAGCGAACCGTTGAAATACACTTCGGGCTTGTGTCTCAGCAGGCTATCGCATTGCTCAAACAATGTCTGTCCCTCCAACTGAGCAAGCAAGCAGAGGAAGCACGCACGCATAGCATCTGGTATAACACAAGTGCATTGAGGCAATAGTGTTGTCGCTATTTGTGCAGAGTACAAGAAGCCGACTGTCGATTGTCGGGTCGTTTTCTTCTCATACCGAAAGTTGGAGTTGATCAAGAGCTTCCATGATGTTTGTGATGCTTCTATCTAGTGAGTGCTTTGTATGCAAATTGAGCGCAGTGCTTCGTGGTTCGGCCTGTGCAATAGCTTTGAAAGCTCCGAGCGCTGCAACCAGTACAAAAAGCAATTTCAGTCTTGTTCTGGTAGCCACTTAAACTATTTTGTATTGGTCAAAACCTAAGGTGGAAGGAATATTTTCTTACTGATCCGGAGCTGCGCCAAATCCTCCGCTGTGGCTTTGTCGAAGAATTGCAAGATTTGAGCGACGCTAAGAGAGCTATTAAGAAATGTCAGAACTTCAACGCTCGAGAAAGACAACTGCAAAGCCTTGCTGAGCTGCCCTGGTTCTGGGCTTTTGAGGGCCAGCATGCCAATGGCAGTATCCATGCCTCCTTTGCCTTCGCTCATGTAACGAAGCGCCCACCCGGCAGCTATTTCGACTGTCGCTAGTGGTAGTGCATCAATTCTACGCTTCAGCTTGTTATATTCCTCTGAGACAGTCCACATGCATGCGCAGTACGAATTTATGAGGGGTGTTTTCCCTGTTTGAGAATAAACTATGCTTTATGAAAGTGTAATTACCTTTCGCTTCAACTGTTTGAACCGGGACGGAGCGCAGTTCCGCTATGATGCTCTGCATCGATTGAGCATCTGACAGTATCATGGCCAATTCTTCAAAGGCAAGTTGAATTTTTCCATATTCAACGAGATCTAGGGAGTCGATAAAAACTCCACGGGGTAAATTAGGGTCTGGAAAAACCAACCCTTCAGCACCCTGAACTGCAGCGAAGAATGTTGAGGCATGAAGAACATTGGGTCGACTGCAGCACAGCAGAACATCGCATCATTCTTATAAGTGTGACTTTTCCATAGAAGGAGGAAAAGCGCTCATTCGTATCTGGAGACAAGGTTCGATCAAGCGCTGAGTTGCACTCACATAGTTCTGAACAGAGTAAACTGTTTTGCTCCGATAAATCTTCGAAGTTTGCCATAGCATGAATTGACGTAGTTTTGCAGTAATTTCCTCAGGCTGGGAGGTAGTTTCTTGATATTCTCTGCAAAGCTCCTCAATGCTGTGACCAGATCCTTGCGATCCTTGACGTACCGCTGCGGCCCACCTAATGCGGGATGGATATCAGTGTACAATTTCGTAACCACGTCCTCAGCTTCTGCGCCTGCTTGCTCTACACGGAGCTCCTCTAGGAAATTTTCGTAAGAGTATTTGGCAACAGTGGCGGCGTAAATGTCGGCCTCGGGAGCAAAGGTATAGATGTTGAGAAAGTCCATCCATTTTGTTGAGCCACGGACAGCTTCCAAAATGTTGTAAAAAGATGCAAGATAGTTAAGCACGTTGCCCTGAAAATTCACAATTGTTGCAGAAACGCTTGGATGTTACTCGGTAGCTCTGTGAAACTCATGAGGCTACTCCGCAGCCGTGCTTAGATGTAAAGAAAATGGGTGAAGCTTACCTTATCAGCATCTGGAATATCCTTTACGGTGCCAATCTTGAGGAAGCGAAGCGCTGAGCACTTTACTATAAGCTCCTCAACATTTTGAGTCTCTGTTTCAAGCCACGCGCAATAAGGCGCCTCCGTGAACAGTGCGCTACGCTTGCTGGCTTGTACAAGGTGCAGGACGTCCCTTAAGTAAAGATTCATTATCAGTGTTTTTCCAGTGCGGTGTTTCTGAATCTTGTGGTATGTCATGACTGCTAATGTCATGGCGAAAACAGCAACCATATCTTTGGAGTCGAGACTGTGCATGCGCGTAATAAGCCGATTAACCGCCCCCAGAAAGACGCCCTTCAAAGTCGAAAAGTTAAGTGGGAAGGTGTACAGACGTCCTTCCAACATGATACCAGCCTGTGGTTTTGTGCCTGCTGAAGTGGATAGAGCTTGAAGAGCATCAAAGAACATTTTTGGAGTAACATTTTGCATGAAGACCGACGGGCTGTGGCTCCAAAAAGAGGATGACTTCGAATGGATAAGGTGAAGCAGGCTCGCCATCTGTCATGCGACAACACAATCATGGCACTCAATCTGAGAATTGCCACAGCTGCCACCATCAAGGCAAATTCATGTTAACAAGCTAGCATTAGAAATGACGGGAGCATTAGTCGCCAAATTTTGGCGAACACTAACCATTTCAGCTGAAGCCCGGCCTTGATAGTCGACGAATTTAGCGACCACCACGTCACGCACAGCCGAAGGGTCGTTCTTTATTGAGGAGAGTTCTTCGCGCCTATCACGATATTGGATACGCCCTGCGATTTTATGTACAGGCAAACCCTCTGTCGGAGCTACGGCCCCCGTTGCTACTTCAGCGCCTTCCAGTGCGGCCCCTTCAGATGCAAGTGGGAACTGCAATGTTCCCTTTGACCCTTCCTCAAGGTGAAACCAGCAAAAGGTGTTGAGTGGTGAAGGCCTAAAGCTGGATGCCTCTTCTCCACGTCCGCTAAGAGCTGCAGCAAAAAGTAAAGCGCATTGAACAGGAAGACACTGTGGGACTTGTTTTTTTGCCTTGGAGACTATGTTGGTATACGCGCCACAATTAGTGCAAGTGCAAGGCTGAAGCTGTGTAGCCAGGGTTACGGATAAACAGGCGTGAACAGGTTTTTTCTGCCTACCTCGCACGTCATCGGGATTTTCAGCTGAAATACATAGGAGAAATCGCAAGCAAGGAAAGAAGCAATGTACAAAGACGCTTAGCAATAGGTTAGAAATAAGTTACTTTTGGAACCTTAGGTATTAAGAACGAAAGCTTCTTACGTATAAATTTTAGGCTTCGTCCGTTAGTGTCGTGAAGGATTAGAGTTGAGAAGTTGTCGGCATAATCAAATCGTGCGAAGACAAGCTGCACGTATCAAGCATCACTCGAGTTGGCTTGTTAGCAAGATTGTCTTCAACGATTGACGCATTGCATGCCGCCGCTTATGCAAGGTGACCAATAGCGCACTTACCCTGCTTATAATGGAGCGACGCAGGTGTTCAAAGAAGCTCTCCATAGTGGCTGAGAATCATAGAGCACTCACACCAAAATAACAATTTGCACAAGGAAACAAGACAGTGTCTATTATGTGATAGCAGCTTTTTGTAGATTTACCTTTGTCACTAGCAGCGATGGCTACAGCTCTTTCACGCTTGGAGAGCTTCGAGAATTCATTCCAACGGGCGAAGACTTCACCGAATCCGGTGTCTCGGAGAGCAGCTATATCATCCGGGGCAGCCGCCATAGGCGCATGAAGAGCATAGAGAGCTTCCTTAACGAAGGCAACAGGGTCAACTTCAGTGGTCACAATTTTACCGCACACATCTGAATCTGGAACACCCAGTTTGGGGTTGCATTTTCCCAGAAAATCTTGGATAGTCTTAACTGATTCGTGCCCTTCCAAGCGCGTAATCATGATGCGACTTGAGAGGAATTGACCATAAAGAGACTCCACGGACTTCCGTAGCTTCCCAGCGCCAGCGCTCAAAAGCTTGAATGCCGCTCTGTCACGACGGGTTCTGAGAGTCTCGCTGCCCATATCGTCAACTACATAATACAGAGATAGACCGCCAGCTGAAAAGTAAGGCGCAATTTGGACACATACAGATTCAATTGCTCATCGCAGCTGTAGAGAGAACAATGGAGTCATAACTCTGTAAAGTTCTTGTTGCTTATCTCTTCCAGCAACAATCGCTTCATGCCGTACCACTCTCGAAAAAGCCGTGCGCAAGATCCCTGGCAGACTTGACAAGCCATGGCTCTCTGAACATTTTCCTTGGTAGAGAAGTCTTGCTAGCTTCTAGAGCAGCTTCTCTATGCATTTGAAATCTTCCGATGGCAGCTTGAACTTGTTCGCCAACCGAGTCAACAGGCAGTTTCTCATTTAAAACATTCGCCACGTCAGCATTTAGCAACAGATAGGCAGTATCGTAAAAGATCGACATCATCTCGCCGATATACGATTGGAAAAACTTGAAATCGTATTTCAAAATTTTGACAATTTGATTCACAACTGACTGCACATATCTCATGGGATCGGTCTTGAACGATGCAACGAATCTCCTATTTTTCCGACACTGCAAAGGTCTCGCAGCACAGCAAAAGACGAAACCTTCATCAAACTGTATTCGTATGCAAATTTAGGCAAAATAAGAGTTGTTATCAAGCGCCAGGTGCCAAAGGATTTTACTACTTACGGCAGAGTCCAGGCGACGCTTAGCTTCTTCAGGCTCCACCGAAACGCCTGGAGCCTGCATAAGAATGCACAGTCAATACAATATATATGTATAATGCAAGAAAACAAAGCAACAGAAGAGTGTGGTGCGTTGCTGTCTAAGGCATGAAGTTCGGTGAACCACCTACAATTGCGTCAAAAGCGTTCATTAGCTCTTCCGTTGACGGCACTTCCTGGAAGCCTGAAGGTAAGCCATTCGTTGTCGAGTCCCCGAAAGCGCCTGCCTCTTGGCCTAAATCTAGCATTGCTTGTTCCTCCGGGGTACCTGGTCGAGTTTCCATTACCTGCAAAAAAGCAGATTGTCCTTGGCGCTGATATATTGAGGCAAGCAAGCATGCCATGTAACGATACATGAAATGAGAAAATACAGTTGGATGCTTACCCTACTTTCACAGTATCCAACAAAAGCTTCTGCCCGCTGTTTGTATGTTCTGATAGTGTTGATAAATGCCCGTCCAAAGTCGAATGCTCCTATCCACAGACCATCAGCATAGTTCCAGGACGCAGTGCCTGCAGCAAGGGCTTCGCTTGCGAGCTTCCCTTTTTCTGTGATGTCTCTCACATCAACGGCATAAAGCTGGAAAAGCAGAGTAATCATTGCCGGGGACAATCTGCGAAGCAGATCTTGCACAAGTGGAGATGCCACGGGGTCTCCACGAACAGCTGAAAACGGACCAGCACAACACACTGCACGGCTGAAGTGAGACATATCCGAGACTCCGAGCTTTAGACTGAGAAGTGTCGTGTCCTTGCTAGAGTGATGAATCGCAGCTTCCCCAATGTTTGGTGTAGTACTGTATGGATGCTTACCAAATCGACGAAATAGCATACGCGTGCCACGTAGTCCGAGGCGCGCGATGTTAACCAATGTTTTGACCAATTTTTCGAAAGACGCTATAATCCCAGTTTTGCAAATAACTCCAATCATAAGGGCAAAAATCCCTCGGAAGCTTGCATAAGCAGGATAGAATACGAGCATGAAGGAGCGAGAAAGTGATTTCAACATTGATCCAAAAATGCCCCCAGGAAGAACAGCGGTGTAGGGAGCAATGCTATTGACGCGATATCCGAAAGAAAAGCAGGCACTTTTAACTTCATCAGTTGGAAATCCTGCTGTCTTTTCGAATGTTTCGTTAAATGCGACAGTAACCACATTTGAAAGCGTTGCTAAAGGGTTCCTCCACAGAGAGCTTGCCCACGAAAATAGTGGTCTGCCTGAGAAATTGGTGGAACTCACGCAAGGTTACTTTGTAGTTAGACGCTGTTTGTTGAATGAAGAGCTTCACGAGCCACGGAAAATTTTGTCGCAAAGAAACTCTTACTTTTATTTGCCAAAATAAGATCCAAGGCTTGTCCGCCCGCATTGACGGCACGTAGAGCTTCTAAAATTTCCATTTTCCGTTGCGTGTAAGATTTTCTATCCAAAAGCGACCTTTTGAATGTGTAAGTATGTTTCAAAGCAAGTGACGCCATTACTTCTTCCGCAGCCACTGCCTTGTCTGAACACATATATTGACAATTGAAAAGAAGATCCATTTAATCACTTTTGTAGGCCGACAAATTTTTACAAACAAGCAGAACGTTTATTCGACGCACCTTTACGCATTGGGCTCCATCTCTCTGCAGCCCTCTGGAGCGCATCTACGATCTTAACTCGTTCACGGTAACGAACGGCGAAAAACTTGAGGAATGGGTTGGTTGAGAAGAGTTCTCTCAAAAATTGCAATGAATGGGTGAATTTGCTTGCTGAATACGTACACAGCGAGACAGGGAAAACGCTGGTTAAAGGGCGATTCAGAGAAAGCAGTTGCTAACGTGCACTTTTCTACCGTTCCACTGGACCCTCCAGCCGCGAAATAAGTAGTGAGAAGTAGATGTCATGCTTTAGGCGATTGATGTACTGTATTAACTAAAAACAACTTGCAAGTGGTACATATGTTCTACTCACATCTTTTGAAGGCGTGTTGAAGATTCTGAGAGTAGTACATGATTTGCTCATGTTCTAGTAGCCCAACAAGCTTCGATTTTTCCTTCCCAGTTTCCACCATGGATTGGCCATAGCTATCATCGATTTCTTTTTCTCCGTAGGATTCGACTTCACTTTTGCCAAGTACAGCGAGCCGAGAGATCTCGCCTGCCGAGTGGCCTGCAGAAGAAAGCAAAATACGTCTCACAAGTTGGGCGTTGAGGAAACGATGGACTGGCTTTATACCTTGTAAATTGCGGTGAAAACCACAAGAGTAGCTGAAAGTAAGACTAACTTGGCTGCGCCGAGAGCCATTCTGGTGGCCCGAAATGGGGAGATATCACTTGGTTGCGCTCCTTAGCGACAGTTGATATCCCAGTCCACGCAGTCAAAATCCCTAAAACAAACAGTCCCATCCATACTTCGTGGAGAAGGCAGGATAACTTGCCCTTGCTAGTCATTGTGGAAATGTGCGGGTCTCCGGACAAGGGGCCGGTTGCTGTTCAAATGGAGACACTTGTCTGCCGGCCCTTCGATTGTAAATTTATTGGCTGGAAATGCACTCAGATCTTTGAATGCAGATGATTCAATGCGTATATCAACTTATCAAAAGAAAGCCGGCTTAGGTATGGCGAACTGGAGTGTCAACCGCAGCGTCGGCACAGCTGGCATAAAAGAGACTCGTTGGCCAGATATATTTCCTTTGGCCTTTAGAGGACCACAACGAGCAACAAGTGATTGCAAAAAAAGCAAAGACAAAACAGAAAAATCCTTGCTAAAACAATCGCAACAATGACTGCTGAACGAATGATTGGTTATCTCTCGCTACAAGCGGTTTTGCGGCGCGCTCACTGGCTGGCGATGCGTTTGCCGGCGGGCTGGTGACCTTGGTCCAGACACTGGGTCGCGCAGCTAGATTACGCCACCTGTTTGGTAAGCCTGCATTAACGTCCTGTAATACTGGAAATATGAGAGTTTTCATTGTTCAATTATTTTTTAAAGATGTGGGAAATGCGTGAAATGCTAGTATTTGTAGCGTCTGATAGGCAGCACTCGAGATCACTGCGTGGTTACGGAGCAAAAGAGCAAGCACATGAGTTTTGCCCCTATACAGTGGGTATACCTTATATTAGCTTTTTTATGTTGGATTATGCTTCTTTTGTGGGGATAAGAGGAGGCTAGTCGCAGTTTTCCTGCACAACCTGCCCGGGACGACCTGCGGTCCACCAAACTGCGGAGACTGAGATTTTTGCAATGTGCAAGGATCTAAAACTCCCCAAATATACCTAGTTTTAAAAATCTCGGCTTGAAAATTTTGTTATGCTAGTCAGATTTTCTTCTATTAACGAAAAATAATGTCCTCAGGCATATATTGTCCTCCAATGGCCAGCTACCTGCGCTGTGCACAGAAAAATCCAAGTTAGCTTAGAGAGTCAAAGCGAGAACGCCTAAGTCTGCAAGTGTATTTTATGGAATAAAGTTAAACGAAGCGTGATACTGAGCCAATAGTGAGCATGTTGGCTCAAGTGGCACTACCTTTAGAAGGGCCGGTGCAGTGCCTAGCAGCAACAGAAGCCTCTAAGCATTGAAAGACCAAGGCAGCCTCTCCTAATCTCTCCCAAAAATTCTCCGATCATAGTATCTATCTACAATATTTGCTAGCGGTTGCTGAGGCACGCATATTCCAAAGTAAAAACCGGCCGACTTACTTCCTTTAAGGATGGCTACGCCATGTTGATCTCCTCCTTAATTCGCTACTAGAATACATACCCTGCTGATAATTGCTGTGGGACAGCCACGCAGTGCGAATCTAAATGTTGCATAGTATGCAGTGGGCAATTTAGCGGGTAAGCTGCAGTCCTACCCAGCAAGTGTAAAACGGCCCAAGCCGACGTCTTCGCAGGAGCCGTAGTGCGGCTCTTCGACCCGTGGAGACGCTTCCAAACATAGTGATGTACAGAAACAATCCCATCGCATTGTTTGCGCAGCGGCGGTCCTCTTAGTGCCAAGCAGAAGCAGAAAAGCCAGGCCTGTTCAGCTTGATGCAAGAGTGAAGAACTGCTATGGGAGCAAAAATGAGCGGACGTCGTGATGGCGGCCAAACATTGCAGCGCTGGAGTGCCAGTTTGTAAATGGTGAAAAAAGAAGGGGCTCCAAGCGTATATATTTTCAAGAAATATCAGCTTGACGCCGTTAATAAACAGATGAGAAGATGGAGATGACGCACAGCAGTATCTGAGGAAGGCGGAAGCGTTCTTGCTGTGAGAAGCTGCAGAAGCGACTATTATCGACCATCTGGGGTTACCAAAACCTCGCTACTGCAGTGAAGCGCTTTTACGTGTGCATACAGTATTGGTACGGACATGGACACGACGACAGATTGGGGCAAGCATATTGCAGCAGAATGCATGGACTAATCAGTGTTGCATTTGTTCCTTCAGAGACGGAGAAAAATGGGGAATGCCCTGCAAATTTAGCTTAACAGGTAGTAAGGTTTTCGAGTTGCAAAATCGCAAGGCCTTGTCCTCAGTGCTGAGGCCAGTCATGCCGGCAGCAAGTTGCACTCCACAAGGACGAGTGCTAGGGAAATATAGCTAGAAGACACAGCATCCAGTCCTATCGAGCGCTGACAGCGTTCTAAATTCTCCCCCGTCTTTGCAAATTCACTCGCACCTTAACTCTCTAAACGGACTGTGAAGATGCCTCCTTAGGCCTGCTTCCGCTGTCCAGAAGGCAACGCTTTGCGAGCCGCGCCTGTAATTTAGAACGTGCCTCTACCGAGCTCAGCTGGTGTGAAACTTTCAATCCGTTTTCGCAGGCGGCTCAGTTAAGTCACAACTGATCAAGCACTGTGCTGCAACTTCGTGGCAACGCGGTACCTAAACTACGCCTCCACTACCCCACTTGTCAGTGACACTGCTACAGCCGGCAAATAAATGAATGCCAGAAGCGTTGCGCAAGTAGCAAAGCTTGATTCCCCATTAAGTTTCACATTCACTGAAGCATTAGGATGATCCCTAACTACTGAATAAATTTATTTTGCTGTGGGCAACTACCAGCTGCTAAAGGGTCGCAGAACAAGATAAAATAGGTATTCTACGTACTGGCTCTTAGTTCTAGATACTTTAATGGTCGAAGGTGCCCGAAAGCGTCGTGACCAGGGCGTGTTTGAGAAATCCTGCTGACGATCTCTGCAACTAAATGCCGATGAACAATGGCACTGCATCACGCTGCGCCCAAGCGGCAGTGATGCGAGTTCAGCAGATCCAGCCCACTAACCCTTGGAAAGTGCGCCCATCCATATTCGTCCTTCTCTGGGGACGAGTTTTACACGCTAGTGATCAGGATTCTCAGCTAATGGTGGTCGAATATACAGAAGAAGAAGATGCCCAGCACTGGGACATTTAGAGCAATCCACGCAGCTGTGAGCAGAGGTATCTTTTGGTCAACATGGCAGTTGAGGAGCACCCGAAGTCATCTTGGAACTAAAACAAAACAGGCCGCCAGCTACTGGGCTTTTGGCGGCTGATATTCAGGATTCTTGCGGAGAAGCACAATGCCTTCAAGGACGCGAGCAACTGGCAAGTCTGTGAAGGCAACAGCATATCGGCATCCCTTGACACTTGAGGACGCATGTAGAGACCTTTACGTTCATACTGCTACTGGGCGATTACCACATGGTGCTTAGAAACACATGATAAAATGCCTGCCCAACAGGGAACGGTGTACGTCTGAGCCAGAACAACAAAGTCAACGGACTTACATTCATCTGTTGCCAACTCGGCTCTTTCGCTAAAGTTAAGGAGGACAGGGGAGGTGTGGGTCTGGAACCCCGTGATGGTCTTTGGTTGCCTGCCAACCTGCGCCACTACATCAACGGCCTCTCCAACGCGGACGGGTATTGGAAGCATCCTGAGGTCTTCATCTCCTTCCATTGTGGGGGTCTTATCAGTCATAGCCCCATCTGTTTCCATAGCAGCATCGATGCCTGCTGCTTCCGCTTCGTCTTGTACCACAGCTGGGCCTTCAGTCTTCAAAGCAAGATCAGGCTTTTCATCAGAACCCACACCTTCCACGCGCTCAGCAACAGTCACAAGCCACCGTGGCTGAACTGCTGGGAACAGGTAGTAGAGTATGAAGTGGAACTTCCTGAGACACCACCCATGAGTGCAAGGAAAAATCATTCAGCAATCTGAAGGCCCCAGCTCCGTAATAGCCCGCCCCAGGCAACTACGGGAGGCTAGGCCCGCATTTCTCACGACTCCTCAGCTGAAAGTTAGTGCAGATTTGATTGGGCAGACTCAAATGTAAACGAAACACGGTGTTCTATCAAAACAGAACTGTTTGCTAGGTGCACGTTAGCAGAGTGCTCACCCTAGAATTGTGTGGCGCATTAGGAGAGCCGAATACGAGATGATTGCCAAGGCCCCCAAAGCAACCCGGCAGATAACTTGACGGTCAGAGTGCAGTGCACCCAGATGCAACAGGCCCTTTCCCAGGTATAGCAATCCTTGTGAAAGACGAACCTGTAATGAAACTCCACCTGTTCGCTAGCACGTAATGCTCCTCAGCAAAGTCAGAAATTCGAGGTGCATTTTCCTCTGTTGGTGTTGCAGGTGAACTCACCACAAACAACGCGCTGGGATCTTTGCCATAATAAGATGCCAGTTGACGAAGGAGTGAGGCAATCCTTGAGTGGTTCGTTCCTGAGAGGCAAACTCACCTTCCGTACGCGATGAGCAGCACAAGGAAAACTCAGCCAACCTCTGCTGCCGTTTATCTAGTCCAAGAAATAGGCCTTTCTGGTACTGTCGTAAACGAAACTTAGCACCAGGTCGGTTTCCCACTGCTTAAAACCTACCGGCACCAAGAATGCCCATTGCGAAAATCGCATTTAGGGCAGTGTCAGGGTCAGCATCGTGCGATAGTTTGCTCAGCAAGTCAATGAGTTGGGGTTTCGGGTTGCTCGGGTGTTGCAACGCTACTGCTAAGGGCACAGCGCGCTTCATGTGAGCATCAGCATATTGGAGGATGTGGTCCTGCAATTCGGGTCAGCCAGAAAACTAATCCAGTCTACATAAAAAGAAGCGGGCCTAGAGCCCCTAAGGCGGAGCTGCAATTTATCACTTGGAGAAAGGATGGCACAGGGTTGCTGCTTAAATGAATAAAGTAAGTTTGCTTGTCGACGTACGTATAATCTCAGCGCCATTTCTGCCCCCATCTCCTCTGCAAAAGCAATCAGTGCAATGTTTAAAACTGCCACAGCCTGGTCTGTATCGTCCGGGTGGTCTTCATCATCGTCAACCGTAGTTGTACTTGTTGTATTTGTTGCTCCAGATGTAGATTCGCTCGATGAGCCGACAGTAGCAGCCCGGCCCACTGCAGAACCAGCGGCACCGTCCACTCCTGGAGCAGCAGTACCGTTGGCAGCAGCAGCATCGCCTGTCGTTGCTTCCTCTGGATGCTGTTCGTTGTTGAGTTCCTTTTGTTTCTGCCTCCAGTACCCATCTGGGCGAGATTCCGCGCACACTCCAAGCATGCGTTGTACCTTCAGTACATCACCGCTACCGGCAGCTGCCAAGCCTTCGATGATACGTGTCGCAGCCGCAGAGAAAGCAGCATGAGGCAGGGCAGCTACAGCACACAAGGCCCCTTCTGCAGCGTCTCGCGTCCCTAAAAATACTAGACCCAAACCAACTGATAAAAAATGCCCCAAGGGAGAATCCATGGCCTCTGAAACACAAAGGCAACACAGAATTGGCCTAGGACACGTATATATGCAGACACAGAAGGATGAGAAGGACCTCCACGCAAAAGGTGGCCAACAGGCACACCCTGCGGTGATGGTGAACTTACATACAAGATACAAGGGGAAGAAGTACAATCACAGCCGTCTTCGCCTAGAGGCGAAAAAACACTAGGGACACCAATCGCATGAAGTGCTTGTTTCACGCCTACAAAGGGCCTTACTCGCTGCAGTGCATCGATCCATAAGAGCCGTCAGGATCGCCTCCGCTGCATCGGCCGAGGCGCTTCCTACAAAGCAGAGGCCTAGCGAAAGTGAAGCGAAAGCCGAACACTCTAGAGGAAGGGAACCATCAAGCTGAAAACACAGAAGAAGCTCATGCAATGCTCAGGACTAAAACATCGTAATCATCTGGAAGCCTGGTTACGCGAAGTTAAAAAGGCCGCCCAACGTCTTGGCTGCTGCTTCTTTTTGGCATGTGGGCAAGCTTGGAAGTGCACGGACTCATACAACCTGGTAACCGTGCATATTAATGAGGGCGTCACAGGCACAAAAGCATACAATTGCGAGCGTTAAAAGCTCCAGCACATCCTCCCTGCAGCTCCCAGCATAAGCACAGCCCAAACCAATGGCAGCTGCAGCCTTAAGAAGGGGAGTTTCCGCCGTCATCTCTGTTGCCTCCAAATGATCCTTCAGCAGCGCCAAAGCAGCGTCGCACTCATGACGGACGTTGCAGCTGGATACTCCGAACCCTGAAAACCATACCAGTCCAAAATGAGACCGAGTTCATCGCAGGGCGACAATGGTGCGAAATGGATACGCATCTTCTGCATACTACCATTCAGCCACTGTCGCACGCCCATTAAAAAATAGAGCGAAGTCCAACCGTGATGCATGCTGTGAGTGCCTTGCAAGCTAGTGGCAAGACTCGGCTGAAGACTAATTTGTAGCTGCCTCAGTGGCTGCCCAACTACAATCCTTGAGGGCAAAACAGCTAAGGCTGCACATCTGCCCAACTAATGATTTCAGTTGCAAGCCAGTAAGCACATTAACTCGGGGCATGGAAGCAGTAGCCAAATTTCACTAACCGAGGAGAGCGCCTGCCTTGACGTTCACATCGCTGCTGTATTGGTGCTTGTCCAAGTGCTGCAGTGCCTCATCCACGTTCCACAGGCATAAAGCCCCGAGAGAAGCTGTCGTAGACAGCAGCCCTCTGTCCTTATTTTTAAATAGCCAGCTGTTTCCTGCAGATTATCACGTTCGACGGCAAGGGCCACATACTGTCACTACGGCATACGAACATAGGGTTCATGCGCACACTGTGCAATAACCGGTTGTATTCACCAGTTATTCAACTGTCAGAGCGTCAGTCAGACTACATTAAACCTAACGCAACATCAGCAACGCTCCAACACGGTGGAAAGCTCGTGAGACCCCAATAAGCTCGCTTTGTGCATTCTGTGCACAAGCAGCAGCGACCAATGTAGCATAGATATATCATCAACGCCTTGTGCACTGCAGCAGAGAACCACGCCAGGTCAACCTGTATGTACGTGCCCTACTCCCCAGAATCATGCAGAACCAAGTCAGGTGAACCACGATGTACGAGCCCTACTCCCCAGACTCTTTAGTTCGAAACACACTTGATATTAATTCTGGTTTGCACCTGGGGAAACTATGTGACACTGACCGTCAGTCGTCATCAGTTTGTCTGTACCGAAGCCACAATTGACGAACGCATTCACAAATGAGGAGGCGAGGTTCTGTTGCGCGCTTTCAAGCCCAGCAAGACGGGCCCGCCTCCCGTGAGGGTCCTCCAAGTGCCTCTTGAACACATCTTCAGGTTCCTTGGGCTCCAAGACGTCCAACTCCTTCGCCAGGAAGCGAAAGAACGGCGAAGTTTTACTACCGCTAACAAGCCGTTGCAGTTTCTCGTCTTCAAATTCCACATCCACCCTCTGCCGACAGAGAAGGAGTGCCAGCTGTTGCTGTACCAGGGAATCCTTGCAGTCCTTCACAACCTTGTCTACTAGGGCGCGGTCTCCTAGCCTCAACGCCACACGCATGGCATCAAAGTGTTGCTGTTGTTGCATGAGAGCGTCGAACGCGACCATCTGCAGCTTTACTGACTCCTCAGGGCTTGCCGCGTAGTTAGAGAGACTAAGGAGATACGCTACAACACGCTGGTAGTTGTTTGTATCCAGCAGGGGCAGCAGAGACTGAGGTTTTTCCACTTCGGTGAGAAGGTCAATTGCGTCTACTTCAGCATTATGCTGCATGTAGTACGGCACGATCTCCTCCACCAGCTGCAGCAGTTGTTCCGCAGTGGGCAGGGGAACCACCACAGACGCAAGCCCACTAACAGGTTTTTCTTGGGTATCAACCTCTTTTGTTACACCGTTCAGCTGTTGCTCTGAGGGCGCGGGGCCATCCACTGCAACAGCCTCTCCTGACGCCGCGCTGGCGCTCCCATCTGTTCCCGCTGCTGCGTTCTGCTGCTCAGTGCTAGTCACTGCCTCCTGCAGCTGCAGCTCGGCAAAGGCTCCAGCAATCTGCCCAGAGAGGTTTCTCAAGTACTCATAACCCCACGAGGTCACATCCTTGCACTCGGCCTGCAGCCAAAGAAGAGGCAACAAAAATCCCAGTCAAGGCGTTGATTGCAAAGGATTCTCAAGACTTCTGACTGAATAAAAAAGAATGATTCAGGCGAATCTATGAAACTATGACGACTGCTGCCACCGCATTTCCGCTGTTCTTATGAAGCAAACCTCCAGACAAAAGTGCAGAGACAGTCGCCGCGAGTCCCCGCTAGTAGTGCAGGTCACTGACAGCACCATCGCAAAGTCACGCTGCACGCAGCAAATAAACAGTGGAGCTTCAGAATGCAATACACTTCGTTTCTACTTGTGCTCCTACGCAGCAGCCCGTTCGTCACTTGGTTGCCTGCCAAGTTCCATCGCAGCTGCTTGATTGGGATGAGCAATGGCGTGTAGCCTTGTCACGCTACCTTGAGGTTCGTCCTCTCTGGAAGCTGCTTGTAGCGATCGACGAGTCTGTCGATGTGGGGCATTAGAAACTTAAGGGGTTTGGGAACACTGGTCATAGAGGAGGTGGCGGCCTTAAGTTCCCGCGAAAGCGTCTCCAGCGCCAACGCCACAATCTCTGCAGCAAAGCACGTGTACTGAACATCCCGCATGCACTCTGCCGCAGAGGGATTTCGGCGGAGCAAAGAGCAACACCCTCAATGCTCACTAGCAACGAAAGGTGAGAGAAACTAGAATTGAACACACCAAGATCGCTGTCACAGGTTCTCTCCACAAGAAGGTCAATGTTTTCTTGGATCTTCTTGTCATCCTCAGTCTGCGCAGAGCTTGCAGCCAAATGTCATCATCTCTCCACGCTGCACGGGCTTTACTAAGCAGCACAGTGCAGATTTAGGTGCAGATAGAGATTTTTTGATTCTAAAGAAGATATAAGCGTATCAATCAGGCCTCCACAGCTTTGCCAAAGCGGAGGCTAATTGTGGCCAGCAAGTAAAATTCGCTTAAAAGTGGGGGCTTGCACCACAGCGGGAATTATTTCATGAGTGAGCATACACGCTTCTGCAAAAGGTCAACACAGGGGGATTTTTACACGTAGGAGAAGTAAAGACATTGATATGAATCAACACGCAACACATACCATCTCCTCTGCGCCTTTTGCCTTCTTTCCGGCCTTTTTTGGGTCTTTTGACGGGACCGCAACCTTCACTGCCTGAAGCAACTCACGTAAAAGCAGTAGCACCGAATGTGAGCACTAAAAGGCACAGCAGTAGTCCTTTAGCTGAGGCAGTCTTATGCTGATACACCAAAACAGGAGGTATCGACGTCCTGACCACAAACGCTGACCTGGTCGAACTATCTCGATGCCCTTACCTCCCTGTTGTCGCTTTCTCCTGCCATTTTCAGCTGTTGTGAGCCCAATATTCGTAGGAAAAGAGAGACGTCAAGGGTTCCGCACAGGAAAGAAGTTCCGCGGAGACGGCCCCGGATGACCTAAGTGCCACACGGTCAGAAGAACACTGCGAGCAAAATGGAAAAAATCGAAGGTAAGGCTGGGAACGGGCTCTAAATTGATATCTACCGGATACACTTATGCACGCATATACGTCCATAGGGGAGGTCCGATAGGCCCAGGTCTGGCATCTCCCAGGGAATGTTAGCGAGTCGCTGGCGTGGACCCCTTCATCTACCTTCTTTCTACGCTGGGCGCCGGTGCCGCGAGCTACCCAAGACCACCCCTAACTTGTCAGAACGAAGGGCCGATCACGTGCTTTTCCAAGCGTGACAGCGGCACTCCTTTAGCTGTTGGCTGCGGTGCAGCCTGGGGTGCATGCGGCAGCCTTCTGGCAGCACAAGGACAACTACCGCTTCGTATAGGAGTGGCACAGTTAGGCAGCAGTCAGCCTTGCTCCTGTTTATACAACAGCAGAGGGTCATAAAAATCTCAATAGCAGATGGTGTACGAGGGGAGCAGTCTTATACAGCGGCTCCCTCCGGTCTGTTGCCTATGCATGAGCTCAATCCATCTACGTGCCACAGTATACCTGACAAGGCACAAAATGAATATTTCCTTGACGACTTTATCACTCCGTCTCATCGAAACTGCAAGTCTGGTGCTCTTCTTTTGGGGCCAGCTTACAGCCCCTGGCCAGCGCTGCCGACGCCCTCCAGCCCCACAAAGGGCACGGGGCCCCTTTGCTAGCCATCATGCAAACAGTTGGGTTATACGGCAAGTTTTATGGGATCCATAGTTTCTTAGAGCTTTCGGTCAGTCTACAGAAGGTCTCTGGGGCACTATTATGTGAAATGCAGCATGCACCGCAGGACGGTGTGCAACAGTATAGCGGCATGTTAAGTTTCACGCACGGCAGCTTTAAATTTGCTTCTTTTTCACAAAAGCCGCAAGAACGTGTCATTTCCTGTTTGGAATCTGCGCTAATTGGCGCGCAGGCAGGAGCTGTGCCCAGTCATCAAGATCAAAGCTTCATTATCCCACAAAAAGTGTTGTATGTTATCTGCACCGACCCTGAGATATTACGGAAGTCAAAGCCAGTGCACCAAGCAGGGTCCAAAGGGTATAACTCTGGCAGCTGAGCAAAGGACATATGCAGTGGTAAGCACGATTGCGCATGCCGCGGCCGCAATATATGACGAATTCAAGTGAGGTTGTTCGGGAGATGCACAACGCCAGTCTGGAAGGTACTATGTTAAAATGCAACAGAGGGAGGTGAGATGGTCCCAGAGGAACACTGCAGCAAGGGGCTGACAGCTACACTGCTCCCCAGAGCATCAGCTTCAGCCACGCAAGCACTCATCCAATGCGCATACCTTCTGTGCAATGCTTGAGCACTCTTTTTGTCTGGAGTGTCAGGGTCTGGCTGTGACTCTTGTTGCAACCTTCGCTTCACAAGCTTCCATTGTTCCGCTTGTGGGTGATTGCTTGTTCTCATGCTATCATTTCTAGTAGGTAGTGCCTAGGTGACGCTGGCCAACAAACAAGACACAATCTGGGTTACTAAAGGGGTATCATAAGAGTGACAGGGATATCGTAAGACTGTTTGCCTTTCTCCTGCCCACAATTTTCACAGTGCAACAAGGACATGGTGCTAGCCCCTACCTAGCGAAATAACTAACCTAGGTTTCGTCCAGTAACTATAGTGGATATCTGATATCTTCAATTCATACTGCATTAGTTTTCGGCATTAAACCGCTCTTTGGTAGCATTAGTCACACTTTTTAATGCTTAATTAAACAGGCTTTAAAAAGCCTGAAATGCTTTCGTAACAACTCGTAGCAGCGCGCTTCCTTTGCTTCTCCCCGTCAGCGTCCCCAGACTTCTTGGCTTTAATCCACCAACTCCCGCCTGCTGACTGTCACTTGCCACAGTTGCGACTTCCTTCAGCTGAACGCATTCGGCTTCTTGCAGCAGTTTCGGGGATGTTACTGTATATGCGTCCCCACTGGCGAGTGTTTCAATTCGAGGACACTGGACTATAGAGGAAGTCGTATACTTGAACAGCTTGAACAGACAGCTTACGCTGTCGTGCTGCAACGACTTGATTAAGACAAGAGTACTGAGGGCGCCCGCGTATGCTTAGTACCTGAAAGCTTCCCCATGGTGTTCAGCTCAAGCTATGCTGTGTAGGAGTAGGTTACAGTGCGCCAGAGCAAGTTTAGCCACTGTTTTGAGAGACTCTCCTAGCGGCAAACGTTTGATTGATCCTATAGTAACAAAGGGGCCTTGTTTTCTTAAAATGGAAGGAGAAGGAAACGTACTTAACCACAGCTGACGTAAAACTGTGAGCTTTTGTCATGGTCAGAGGGACTGGCTCCAAATTAAGGCCGTCCTCACTAAGTAAAGGAGCATGTACCTGTTGGGCCTTTCTTATACACCTCTCTCTAGTAAAAGATTCCCATATGGGCGGTATGTCTTGCTAAGTTTTTGTCAATGCATACATTTTGCAACTGTCATGCAACATAGCCATCACAAACTGTAACTTTAAAGTGCCGGAGACATCTCAAGGAATCTAAAGGTAAGCGGGACATGCAAATTGTAGAGTATTCGGTGAAGGTCACGATAGTTGTAGCAATTCGCGCTCTTTGAAGCAGTGGTAGGAGGAGAAGGCCACAACTTTCGTGTACATCATTTTGGCGATGTGCGCTACAGCAGCACCTATACCTTTGACTAGCACACACTGCACGCAGGTCTTGACGACCCTCACCGCACGCCGTGTTGCAAATGCGAAATCGCTGGAGCCCACCACATGGCGTTTCTTTCACCACGATATCTGTAAAGTTAACTCCACGCAGCCCCTACACGATAGGCACCATGAAACCTACTAGTACGTCTCTCCATTATGTCCTTCCCAGCTCTGTTCCACAGGCCTTCACTAGGCATGATGTGTAGCGCACAGAGTCCAGCTTATTGCTTAAGTAGCTCTCTACTACCAGCTGTCTACAGTTTTACCATGCAGCATGCAACTTGTGAAGTCATCAAGAGCAGCCCACGTGCATCACTTAATGGGCCAAAAATCCTGGAGGAGACTGCAGTAGGACTGAATTATATCTGCAAGGGCTGATATACCGTTGTGCACAAAGCCCGTCCAACATGAAAGGTAGACATCAGCCCAAAACTTCAGGACGTCGCATAGTGCAGCTACACTCAGGTCTCTATCTTCATGCTCGCCGTGCAGTGCTGTTCTTAAATTGAACTGCATTGAATTGATTTTTTTTCGGACATTCATGAATAAGTTTATGCACAAGTGTACTGCGCAGGAATACAAATGTGCCATGTCTTGCGATATTTCACAGAGACGCCAAACGACGCTAGCCTTTTGTGTATGCATTCTAGTTCCACAGCTCGTTTGACGTAAAAAATTTGGATCTTGCTGTGCTGCGCATTAGCTCAGAATCAAGGTCTGCTTGTGTTGTTGAAGATGTGCGTCATGCTCTATTTCCACTGAGAATTCCGCATGTTTTTAGGTAGTTTTTCCGCCATAACTAGTGAAATATGTTTACCTTTTCCTTCAAACGAGTAAACAAATTTTTGGGATGCCTGGAGGCATAATCCGCTTGGCACCTGAAGTCCAGGAAGAAAAAATCAAATGTGAAACGATGCTTTTTTGGAATGAACGGGTAGCTTGACAACGGGTCCACCACCGTGATCAGCTAAGCCCAACTTGGCCCATACAACCCTCTTCCGCTCCCGCTAAGTAGGTTCATATCGATCAATACTTACCGAACACACAGTTTAGACTTTAAAGAGGTCTATGGAACATTACTGCAGGTTTAATTTCCAACGGAAATACATATCTCTCACCGAAAATTTTCCCTTCCCTGCGTGGGCATGCCAAATACTGCGGCTGCAGTGCTTCTTGCCGGCTTTAATTCACGAACTAACAGCAGAGCACACTGGATCTGATCGCCAGAGGACAAATTTTCTTTGGAGGATGGTGACTTCTCGTTAGTACGTCAATCTACATATTCTGAATGTTGCGGCCCGGAATGCCACAGAACTGTTCAAGTGTTACGCACTTCTAACAGTTCTGTTCAGCTTGCTAGAAATGCATTGAAACTCAAGTACAAATCCATGGCAACGCAAAATTGTGCGGTCGAGGGAAATGTCTTTCTCGACCTCACTTTCATGCCAGATCAACGGGATATGAGCCTTGCACACAATAACTAATGAGCTTTCTAGGTATAGACCAAGCGGCTGCAATGTGCAAACCAGTGCAGGCGGCTCTAGCTCAATTGCATATCAGCTCTATTAAAGAAAAGAAGAAGACTTGCAAAGCAATAAGGGCAGCCATAGCTACGATCTCCACGCTGTTACAAAACAGCCATTAGACCCTTCGCTTCTTCATCACAAACGTTGATCAAATGAAATTTCACCCGCAGATAACCTATTTGGGTAGTGGTAGTATTTTGTCAGATATGTGCTTGAACAATTGCCTCCTTTTTTCTACTCTAAGCAACATTTTAGGGAGATTCCGGAGAACCCTCTGAATTCCCCACGTTGGAGGGCAGTAACCTATAGAATCAAGTTATTTGGAGGGTATTTACGAGTTGACGCTATAAAAGGTGGGCTCTTGATTCAATGCTGCATAACCTTTTCAGTTCCTACAGCTAAACGAACTCCCTAATTACATAAACCCACACCACTGAAACGCGACGCGGCGAAGAGGCTGGTGACGCTGGTGCGTGCAAAGGCCATGGAAGGGCATTACAGTGCGGACCTTGGGAGGTATGGAAACCAGAAAACCAGCAGCATAAACCTCTCTCGATATTTTCGGGAAAATAACACACATAGCCTTTCAAGGGCTTTGTTTGTATCTTTACTGGTTTCAAGTTGAAAATAAGTAATTACTGCGATTGTGGGATTCCTGACGTCCCCCAATTGACACCAGCTGGAAGTCTGATATTCTTCGAGAATACTTACGGCTTGGAGAGACGGCAACAGTGCAATACGGGTGCGCAGTCTGACGATTCCACTCCAAATCACCCGAGAATCTGGTCTTCGAGCCTTATGAGGAGCCCACCCTTCTGGGTTTGTTGGGGCCCCTCCCTTTTCAAAAAGCACATTTCTTACTGGTTAGATTATCTGTTTGATGAATGCAAAATACTTTCAAGGGGAAAGCTCGGTTTTTTCGTGCGAATACATCTTTGACAGAGCAAGAAAAGAGACAGTTGCCTTGTGAGGTAGCAGGCGCCAGAATAGTAAACAGTAGCGGGTGGTGGATGGACACTGGTAGCCCTAGTGGTTAGGCGCCAGTTACTGCAAGGCGTAGACATTCATGTTTGCCCTATGGGGCCAGAGGGCTTGCCAGTGTAGTTTCTGCGGACTGACCCAGCCTTATGTTGGCAGAAGGTAAATTATATGAAGTTTGTTGTGCCTTCGCAAAAGAGTAGGTCTGCTCCCGCGAAGGCAGCTCCATTTCAGCAAACTCGTCGGGCTGCCAATCATACAGTGACGTAGTGGATTTGGGGACTGTGCAGCTACTATTGCCGCCTTGCCACGCTGGCATGGAATGTCGCAGTAACAGCAAAGGGGGCAGTTGGACGTTGCTTATGTATATTTGTGGTGCATTCAACTGACTTGTGGATCGCGGGATCGAATTCACGCGGGGCTCATTTCCCTCTGACCCGGCGCGTACAACTGAGACAAGGGGATTAACAGTGTGCACAAAATATTCCTCTCATAAGTTTTGCTACACTAACAACGTTTAGTAAGCGTGGCCTATAGGGCAACGCTGCATGAGCCCACACAAGCACCTGATGCGAGTAGCTTGCGACATTCACTTCGCACAGAAGTCGAGATAGTTCTCGCAAACCCCGCCTCTTTGTGCTCATTTGGTAACTAAAAGCAATCACTATTTCACATATATATAATATAAGTGAAGATGCAGACAGGGCTTCAGCGAACGTATTCTTCTGACTCTCATCCTCAAGACAGCAGTGATACCCGTGAAGTCCTTCGTGAAACTGCCTTGAAGAGGCTTTTATGTCTCTTATTGTCATTCCGTAGGAAAAAACCACCGGTTTATGCTGCAGCCACCTACGTTTCTGAGAAATTCCCTCCAAAGTTGTCACCATGTTTTGCACATGCGGAATACAGGATTGCGTAGGTCCAGCGGCGTCAAGGCCCTCGCCGCAGCCTTTGCACTACACGCACTACACGAGCAAGAAACGCAAACAAAGAGTACACAGCAGCTAGAAACAAGGTCCACCCGGGTTGTAAGACAGAGACTTCAGCTCTAGCGCGTTCCCAGTGAGGCCATTGTGACTAGTTGCTCCGAGAAGCTAAGCAGAAATGGAGAGCAATGTTTCAATTTGATCAAATCTGTTTAATTTGCAAAATTTTTTAATTTCTATAATTTTAGATGGAATCTAGAATGGGACGGCGTTGACCGCATAGTATGGAGCCCTGCAGCTTCCACCAGGCAAATTGAGGGCGGAGCACGGCGGGTTGCTAGTAGTGGGAATCAAACAAGTATGCCCGATTCAGCGTGGAAGCCAAATGGAACACATTGCTCATTTTTCACCAAAGCTTAAGTTTCCCTAAATCTAATCGAATAAGTACCAGCATCCCCGCAGAATCAAGCCGGCACTCCACAGCCACTCCACCGCATGCATGCCCTGTGCTGATATCAGCGCTGCTGTCTTGGGCTTTTTCTCCGCTGGGCCCATCTTGGGTTTTATATTTTGCCGTAGAAGGGGTGTTCTTGCCGGCACCAAGAGCAAGCTCCTTCCCTCCTATACAGCGTGCTGTCACCTTTCTCCAGCTCTTACCCCACACAACTCCAACCCAACTTAGGCTACCTCACCAACAGCGACTGGTCCAACCCTGCGGCAATTTGTAAGTTACTTAACCGCGATTTCCAGTCTGCTTATACTTCGCCGAGATAAGGAGTCCCTCCCCTCGGACCGCACTTCCGGCTCTTACACGGTCTCTCGCAGCTCTACGTGCTACTGTTTGATTACCCTCAAAATCTGCAGCAGCTCTTGCAACACTTCCTCGACAGCCAAGATAAGACCGGGTGTACGTACGCCTGGCTTACCAGCGTGCAAGGAAAATGGGGCCGGCAGAGGAGAACTTGGCGCTGGTGCGCCGGATGTCTCTTTTTTGGGAGCCACACATGGCAGTGCCAGTCATTCAGTGGCTGCGTTCACAGCAGGTGCGTGGCAGAGCTGATTGGGTTTTGCAGATATTGGAAGGTGCGACAATGCAGTTACGTGCATGGCTGGTTCATTGGCACTCCAAGCTCGGCTTGTCCTGGCGTCGCAACTGCAGAGCGAAACCCAACGACGCAGTCTGCAGCATTCATAGTCTTATCTGCAGCGTAAATCAGATTGCTCGGTGAAACTCAAGTGGTTCAGACTGCAGAGGATAACCTGAGGGCGCTATATACTCGCTGCTCACACGAATGTTCTCGGTGCTTTGCTTCTGGCTTGGAGCGAACGATTAGGGCACACATGTGTCAAAGTGTGTATCTTTGTTTTCTTCAGTTGTTGGAAGAAAGCAGCTGTGATGCACTACTAGAGTCTATTCTTCCTAAGACGCCAGAGGGCATTGCCCGGAGGTTGCGGGAGCTGGTGCAGCAGCAGGGTGGTGCGGCGGAGGAGCCCGAGCAGCAACTGCAGGAATGGGAGCAGCAAGGCGCAGCTTTGGAGGAAGTTCTGCAAGCCTTTAAGGGGGAACAACAGAGGAAGATAGGAAATCAGCTCGAAAGGAAGAGACTTAGGGACATCCTACAATGGCACTACCAGGTCCGGGACACCGCTCGTCGTTTCACGAAGGTGGCTGCGGTGACGTGTGATGTTCCGGCTGCTGCTGTTTGGACTTCTGCATTCTGCTGCTGCTGCTGCTGCTGCAGAACCGAGAAGAAGGGAGTGAGACGCCCAACTTGGCCGAAGTCCCACGCGTTGAGATGGTTCCAGTGCGTCTGGCTCGCGTGGCCTTCTCTCTAGGAGACTACAAGAAGGCACTGCATCATCTTGACTTCTACCTGAACACGCTCTCCGAGCTAACCAGTGACAGTCAGCCCAACGTCATCACAGACTAGCTAGTCGAGGCCAACCAGCTCCCCAGTTGACGACAGTAGACAGCATGATTAACCAGAAACGGATTTTGTAGATTGAGCTTGCATCTTACGTAGTGGTCTCAGGTAGCGGGACGTCAGGCATTCAGAAAGAGGTGTTCTCAAGTAGTTCTCTTCCCTTTTTTCCTAGATCAGGAATTACTTCTTGCTGTTGCTGCTGCCAATTGTTTCAGGCGGCGACATGCAGACCCCAGTGTCTTGCGTGTGGGGCATTTGCTGCTGCATATTGTTGCTGACCCTCTCCGATACCGCTGGGGACTTCCCTAAGGGACAGCCCTCCAATGCGGAGAGCGAAGAGGCGCTACTACAGCAGTTGCAGGATGGGGAGGATGGCAAAGAGAAGGCACTGGGAGCAGTTGAAGCACACGGCGTCAGTTCTGCTTCGTCGCCGTTGCTGCGTTGATGTTGACTGTTGCTGTTTCACCCACCGGTCCCCGGATCGGCGCTGTGTGGTGCTTGGAAGCAGCTGATCTCGGGTGCTGTCGATACTTCTGCAGGCGGCGCGCTGCATCCTTCGTCTCGGCGATATTTTGGATCAGTCCCAGTTGGCTGCATCGAAAGCAGCAGCGGGGATAGGACCAGAGACTCCCATGAGCAAAATATTTTCTCGGGAGCAGCAGCTGCAGCAAAGGGCTTGGCTGCTGCACTGGGCCATGTGGCTGCTCTTGCGGTACTATTTGCTTCTCACCTACGCGAAGGGGCAGTCTTGCAGAAACCAGGCATGGTCAGCACTATTGGACTGGGTCGTTCAGGAGCGGTAAGCTGCGTCTACTGCCCGAGTCTGCTCTAATGGACGCGGTGCAGCCAGTGAAAACTGCTTGAGAGGCCTTAGTGATTGCAAAGGCAACAATTCTGCATGTTTAGCAGTTTTCGCTTCAAATGCTGCCTTGTTGAATTCACAAGACGGCTTATCACAGCTTTGGTGGCATTGGGAAGGGGACAGCTGGTGGCTGTCGGTTTAGAATGCGTCGTCTCCAAAGGAGACGAACCCCCTGGAAGTCAAGAGAAAGCGTAGTTCCTGCGTCCAGTCAACCTTTTGTTATCTACGTTATTTAAGAAAGACACAGTTTTTCGGCAAATGTGTGGTGTGGTCCATTTGGACGTCGGCGCGTGTCGCAGTAACCTCACCTGCGTGCACTTGCTTTGCCCCCACTTGCTGCGGTACTACGCCGTTTATGCCATAATGAATCGCAAGAGAAAGGATCATTTCCAGGCCATTGTAGGGGTAGGTGGTTGTCCGTCCAGTGAGGGACTGACGTTGCAGAAATCAGAGCTGGCACGTTAAGGGAAAGGGGCACTGGAATTAATACAAGAAGACGAATGGGAACGTGCTTTCGTTGGAAAGTACAGCTTTCATTCCATTCTACATTTGCGTTCTTTCATTTGCTAGTTTTTTATGGTCTTTTGTAGGCAATTGGCCACACAAAGAACAAATACACCGATGCTTTTACGTCTTTGCTGGAGGCGCTTTTCCTTGACTTCAATTTTGATGAAGCCCAAAAGCACATCACCAGCATTTCTGAAGTACGTTCGCTTCTACGAAATGGACTGGCACATAGTGTTGTCTACTGGAGGCGTCGTCTATGAAGTCCAGTCCCTTGTGTAAATGTCAGTCCATGTTCTCTGCTGCCATCGCTTGCTTGATAAGCTTGTCGGTGGAATTTAAACTGCAAAATTCAGGATTTGCGACTAAGGCTGTACCGTTTTCATGCAGTTGTGCGAGACCGACTTCTTCCTGGAGCCTCTGAAGGGTGCAGTGAACGAACATGCTCGTTTGCTCATCTTCGAAACCTACTGCCGAATTCACAAGCGAATAAACGTGGAGTGAGCCAGCCAGTCTTACCATCCTTCCTTCTCTAGTGCCTGCTTGCCTGACCACACTTCTGCCGTCAATTTGCTGCTCCTTTTATTGCATCAAGGAGGCATTTACTTTTCATGCATATAGCATCCGGCACAATGCTTTCTGCTGTCGTCGTTGTTTCTGGACAGTTCTTTTGCAGTTTATATGAACGACTGTTGCCCTGGCAATATCACGCGCAGTGTAGGTTGATTTTTGTATCCTCACTTTCGTCATGATCGACGCAGGATGATTGCCAAGAAGGTCAACATGGTGCCAGAGGCTGCGGAGCGCTGGATTGTCAATTTGATTCTTCATGCAAGACTAGGTTAGTATTACGAATTTTCCGTCATTGTATTGCAGATTTATGGCTATGGCTGGTGGCAGGCCAGCTACTATTCTTGCTTTCCAACCAGTGGCTATATTCTGGTTTTGTTTGTTTGTGTGGTTGTTGCTGGTGCAGAGGCCCGTATTGATAGTGAAAAGAACCGTGTGCAAATGGCAGGGGCTCCCCCTAGTCTGTACCAGCTGGTGACGGACAAGACCCGTAACCTGGGCATGCGCACAAGTCTTCTGATTCAGAATCTCGGGAGGCCAGGGTACAACAGAGACGAGGAGGCGAATGCGGCGAGAGGTCAGCTACGCAATGCATGTGAATGTGTGTGTGTTTGTGTGTGTGTGCGTGTGTGTGTGTGTGTGTGTGTGTGTGTGTGTGAGTGTGTGTGTGTGTGTGTGT